AACACCAAGAATACATCTCGGCCAATGTTTTCTCCTCTCACCCCCGCCTGGTCACCTGCAGGACCCCAGGGCTCCATCTTTTCCTCAATTCCACACTCATCTCTGGGATGACACCCAAATCTACTTCTCCTCCAGTTGCGACCCTGATGTCTTGTCAGCTTGTTTGACGGACATTAAGGCCTGGATGAGCACAAATTTCCTGCAGCTGAATTTCAGCAAGATGGAAGCCATACTCACAACAGTCTTTGCCACGCTTCACTGGCTCCCAATTACTGAACGATCGATTTTAAGATTCTCTCACTCATTTTCAAATCCCATCATGCCCTCGCACCCACCTACCTCTATGATTTGCTTACCCCCCACTCCCCCACCTGCTCCCTCCGCTTGACTGGGTCCGGCCTCCTACTTGTCCCTCGTACCGTCCTCTCCACCGTTAGTGACTGTACCTTCAGCCACTATTCCCTGAAACTCTGGAACTCTCTTCCTCAATCTCTCTGCCTTTCCCTCTCTCTCCCCACTTTGAAATCCCACCTAAAGATGTTCCTTTTTGATTGTCACCTCCCTCTCCCCCTGGCTTGGGATCAGTCACCACCACTGGCAAGGGGTCAGGGTCGCTACCCCGTGTGAAGGGCACTGTATAAATGCAAGTTGCTGTTGCAAGCCAAAGCCCTAGTAGGTTGGTAGTCCCAGCTGGACAAGCGGTGGGAAAGCTTGTCAGACAGCAATATCTATGCAGTTTTAGCTGTTTAGACTCCAGCTGTTACCCCATCGCACACTCTGGGGTCCCCGAGACTTCGCTCTTGCCAATATGAGCTTAATACTTCCAGCATGACTTAGGTAAGCAGGATGTGTCTCTCCAGGGAGAGAGAGCGCATTCCATTCCAATAATCTATCTCTAGGATTTCCACATGTAGATGGGATAGTCTTAAGCACGGTGATGGGTTTTCACGTGTGTCAGACACCCGACTGACCAAATAAATATTGACCGGAATGTACTAACCAGTTTAGTGATCATGAAAAGACCAGAAATTGAAACCAATTTGTTTGCTCTCTGGATGCTGAGAACAACTGGCTGAGTCACTTTAAGTCAATTACACGTCTACATTTGGAACCTGTGTTTGCTTGATTGAAGCTAATAAATGAATAATTGCTAAAAAATATCTCGCAGCGATATTTCATTTACTGCTAGCTGCCGTGAGCCTGGCAGTCACAAGCCCACAGACATGTGATGGCAGCAAAGAAGTTTGAGGAGTTTGTGTCTCTCCTCGGGAATAGCGCTGCCCATCCAGCAGGTGCCAGCAGGCTGGGGGATTGCTGAGCTAGGCTGTGCTGACCTAGGCTGTAGGTGCTTTACTGGACTGTGCTGGGCAGTGTTGTGTTGGACTGTGTTGGGCTGGGCTGTGTTGAGCTAGGCTGTGTTGGGAGGTGCTGTGTTGGGCTGTGTTGTGTTGGGCTGTACTGTGTTGGGCTGTGCTGTGCTGAGCTAGGCTGTGTTGGGAGGTGCTGTGTTGGGCTGGGCTGTGCTGAGCTAAGCTGTGTTGGGAGGTGCTGTGTTGGGTTGTGTTGGGCTGGGCTGTGCTGAGCTAAGCTGTGTTGGGAGGTGCTGTGTTGGGTTGTGTTGGGCTGGGCTGTGCTGAGCTAGGCTGTGTTGGGAGGTGCTGTGTTGTGTTGGGCTGTACTGTGTTGGGCTGGGCTGTGCTGAGCTAGGCTGTGTTGGGCTGTGCTGTGTTGGCCCTGTGTTGGGAGAGAGAGCTGGAACCAGTGAAACACCTCTGATGGCTGCTGTCAGCTATTTTTAGATCCAGCTGCTATTTTTACCTCAGATTATTTCCAGCGCTGTTTACAGACCAGTCTATTATGGTCGTGTTCTGTCACATTCCTGTGTCTGTGTGTTTGTATAGACTGAGGCTGGAGAGTGTTGAGGCCAATTCGATGTATGGGCCAAATGACCATGAGCTATCAAGAAGGAATGAATATCTGAAAAGATATTTATCTAAAAGCTAATCTGGTCTCTGCGGCAGGTTGTGCGTTCTGTGACCATCCAGCCTGCTCCCCATTCACCCCTACTCCCTCCGTCACCCGCTCCCCACCTCATCCTCCCTTCCCTCGCACCCCTGTCACCCGCCCTGGGGCCAGCCAGCACAGGGAAGTGATTTGGGACGTCCTCCTGACGTGAAAGGTCCCGTGTGAATGTGGGAATGTGGGTATTGTGATCACCTCAGGTGGAGAGATATTCCTTGCGGTTTCCATGAGAACAAACAGAAAGAGAGAGAGATGGAGTAAAAGCTGCTCTCTCTCACTCTGTGTGGATTGCTGATGGGCTCCGTGTCCCTTGTATCAGAAGGTTGTGGGTTCAGCCCCAGCTGGCACTGAGCCAAGGCAATCCGCAGAGAGCTGCTCGAACACCGACAGCTCAGAGCTGGGTTGGGAGCTGGGCTGCCGCACTGCCATCCTCAGGGACATTTCTCTGGCTTCATTCAAAATCTGATTCAATTAAGTTTTATTGTTTGGGGAGAATGTTGATTCACTGCACTACAGAACGGGTCCTGTAGCATAGATTAGAGCACTCACCTCACAAACAATAGGACCTGGGTTTAATTCCCAGATAGGGCGAAACCTTAGGCAAGTTTCCTTATTCATTAATTGGCTGCCTTATATCGTCCACAAAATACACAGATACAGTCAATCCGCTTTATAATATATTCTGTGAAGCTTTGAAGTGACTCAAAGACATGATAAGGTGCTATATCAAATGCAAAGATCATTATTGTTATTATTATTACTCCATGTGCCCCTATTTACCTAGCAGTACGTAGGAACCCAGTTGTTAGTCAATTGGTGGATGGCTTTCTAGGGGTAACAATCTCTCATAAAAAATGTGGTCACTCAATCCACGACTGCTCCTGCATTTCGCCCATAAAATACAGTCAATCCTCCTAACAATACAGTCTGTGAAGAGCTTTGAGATGTCTCAATGATGTGATAAGGTGCTTTATCAAATGGAAGGATTATTATTATGAGGTTCTGTCTCGGATGCTATGATTAAAGTGTTGAGTATTGGGTTTCGACCACTCATTAAATGATTCAACAGAGCACAGAATGGACAGAACAAACTGTGTTTTCGTAAACTCTCACAGGGTTCATCATGACTGGACTGTGTCGTAATCCCATTGGCAAACTCACAATGATACTCTGCAGTCAGCCCCCACCCCAAGAAAGCTCCGTCCTCTCATTGTCTCTTGGTAAAAAAACACTAAACTCCTGACCAGCCAGACCAATGAGGGGTGAGATCCAGAATTTGCGGTACTAGGCAGTGATCATTTCCCAGTGAAATACCCTCCGGGAGACACACAAGCTTTTATCCTCTGTTCTATCTGTTCATTTTGTAACGGGTGATAATGATTCACAGTCAGTGTAATTGAAGCCTCACAGAAGCAATCTGTCTCACTCAAGTCAGTGTGGTGTTGCCTTCAGGTCATCCAAGGGCATTTTATTTTGTGCTTCGTCATAATTTACTATCTTAAATAGTTGTTAGCGAGGCCTGTCAGAATCCCTTGCCACATGCCTCACTCCCAAAACCAGATTGGAACCTGCTGATTTTGGAGTAGGTTCTAATCCCCGCTGTGTGTCCTTATGGCCATCTGTAGCTCACTGTGCAGCCATGTTCTCCCCACTCACACAATCTGGGTCTCCTTGTAAGTGAAAAACAGGTTGGGTTATTGGAATTGTAGCTCAGTAGTTAGAGCACTTGGCTCGCAAACGAGAGGGCCTGGGTTCTATTCCCGGCAGGGAGAAACGTTTGGGAAATTGGCGGATCACTTTCCAAGGGTAATAAACCTTTCAGAAAAACAATAACTTGGTCACTCAATCCACAACTGTTTGTGAGATACTGCTGTGTGCAATTGGCTATTATGTTTAATCCACAAACTACATAGTCAATTCGCTTTACAATGCACTCTGTGAAGCGCTTTGAGACATCTGAGTGATGTGATAATGCGCTGTATTAAATGCAAGGATTTTGTATCCCACACTGCAGAAGTCGCAATATTGATTGATACCAGTCTGGAGACAGACACAGTGGTAATGCGAGATTTTGTGTGACCATTAACCAGAGGGTCATGTATTCAAACCATGGAGTCTGTCCTTATTTCTGTTCTCTTCTTTCTCACTGGCCTCATCCCCCAATAGATTCAAGATCCTCTTCTCACCTCTAAATCCCTCCACGGTCTTGTCCCACTCGACTTCTGCCACCCCCTCAAACCCTCCCTACCCAGCTGCTCCCTCTGATCAGTGGGCACCCACCCAATGCACATTTGCCACCTTGCCCTCCCCCTCCCCACCCTTTCAGCTTATCTGCCCCCGCTCCCTACAACTCAGAGTCTCTCTGACTCTCTCCCTTTCTCTGTGAAGGGTCTGTCTCTGTGACCACACTTTCAACAACAAAATTACATTTGTAAAGCGCTTTTCACGCCGGTTGGCGGTAATCGTTCCCCACCCCTGGCTCCCACCCCTGCTCGGGAGACCAGACAGTATTGTTAAGATCCTTGAGATGTCCTGTGACCCCACACTCATCTCTGTCCCCCCATCACACCGGTCCTCATCAGGCTCCACTAGCTCCCTATCACAGAACAGATCGATTTCAAGATCCTCTGACTCGTGTACAAATCCCTTCATGCCCTGGCATCTCCCTAAGTTTCTGATCTGCTTACCCCTCACTCCACTAGCTGTTGCTGCCGCTCAGTTGGCTCTGGCCTCCTGCTCGTCCCTCCTCCCCTCTGCTCTACCATCGGCCGTGATTTTAACCCAGCTTGGGGTCAGGCTCCGCCACTATTAAGCGCTCCAAGACGCTACTCCACGTGAAGAGTGCTATGTAGATCAAAGTTGTTGTAGTTTTTGTTGTTGATTCCAGGGGTGCTGTGTAAATGTAAGTTGTATTTGATTGTAAGGTGCTGTGTAAATTGACAGTGTGTTGCTGCTGACACTGTGACTTTGTTTAACAGAAGAGTATTAATGAAGGGCTGCTGCTGAAGCAAACAAGCTCATTCCAGAGGTGGAAGAGAAGGTACTTTAAACTGCGAGGGAGGACACTGTACTGGGCCAAGGACTCAAAGGTAAATGAAAACCTCACTGTGATTCCACTGTGTGCAATAGGTGTCAAGAGTATTGGGATTCTATTTCGCCCACAGAATGCATAGTCACTGCATTTTGTGGGTGAAGCACTTCGAGACGTCTTGATGATATGATAAGCTGCTATATCAAAAGCAAGGATTATTATTATTAATTATTATTATTATACACTGGGAATGATGTCAGTTTTCTTGATGAAGAGAAAAGTTACACATGATTTTAAAAACTGTGACTTTAGCTTCCCAGAGTGCAGTGTTCAGGTCTGCAGGGGAGGCTCATGTTCTCAGGTCTCAGTCTGGTCTCTCGTAACCGTCACTCACTCTCGCTCTCTTTCCAGTCCTTAATATTTGATGAGGTGGATCTGTCCGATGCCAGTGTTGCAGAAACCAGCACCAAGAACATTAACAACAGCTTTACCGTAAGCCACCTTTATTCCTAGCTCTTTGTTAGCGCTGCGCTGGAATCCTCAATGTTGAGCTATGTGGAGTCCTGTAGTTTAGAGATCAGTGCGCTCGCCTCACAAGCAAGAGGGCCTGGGTTTGATTCCCGGGCAGGGTGAAACCTAAGGCAGGTTTACTAACTCCACACATTTACTTAGCAGTAGTAGGAATAAGGTTGTTGGTCGATAGATGGATCACTTTTCTGGGTGTAATAATCCCTTAAAAAAAAATTTGCCCACTCATTCCCTGACTGTTTGCAGGCCCCTGCTGTGCACAATTGACTGCTGCGTTTCACCCACAAAATATAGTCAATTCACTTTGTAATATATTCTGGGACGCACTATGAGATGTGTTGAAAATGTGATAATGTGTTATATCAAATGCAAGGATTATTATTATCCTCATTGAGAGACAGATTTTGCTGCTTTAGGAAAAGGTGTTCAGTTTTTTCCTGTTACCGGTGGTTTGTTCACAACACAACACATGTCACCTGGCGTGTCACCAGTGTTATCAGACAATTAGCATGCATGCCATGAAGCCATTGAGTCTTGGCAGGTTTGGGTTGAGAACCTGACTGGGTTGTGTGCTGGGGCAGCTGATAAACTGTATGAGAGGTGTGTGATTGGATGGCTGGAGCCAGCGTGTGATTGGATGGCTGGGTCCACTGTGGGATTGGATGGCTGGGGTCAGCGTGTGATTGGATGGCTGGGGTCAGCGTGTGATTGGATGGCTGGGTCCACTGTGGGATTGGATGGCTGGGGTCAGCGTGTGATTGGATGGCTGGGTCCACTGTGGGATTGGATGGCTAGGTCCACTGTGGGATTGGATGGCTGGGGTCAGCGTGTGATTGGATGGCTGGGTCTACTATGGGATTGGATGGCTGGGTCCACTGTGGGATTGGATGGCTGGGGCCAGTGTGTGATTGGATGTTGACCTACAACACAACTTGTTATGGAGCCCGGATGCTCCGGGTATTGTTGTTGTGTAAATATGATGCTAAACTTACGGAAAACCAGCTTCCAAATTAAGGCAGAAAGTCACAGTTTATCACAATTCTGGGCAACTTTTATTATGGTCTTTCAGGTTAAGGCTATCCAGAACCTCTACTCTCTCACGCACTGGGCTCTGATCGAGACCCAAATAAATTCAAATGTCCTTGTAGCAAAATCTAACCCTAAGCAAGTTAAAATATACATTTCTGGATGTGTTGCTAACAGGCTGACATTCCAGTGCAGTGTTGGGGGCTTTGTGTGTTATTGCTGTGTTTTTCTGAGCCATTAAACCAATATATCTGTTGGATATTAAAGATCCGTCTGCACAATTGGACAAATGAAGAGAATTTCTCCCAACCAACAATCTCCAGATAAATCAGTCATGATCTGTGGGATTATCCACAAAATGCATAGTCAATCCAATTTACAGTATATCCTGTGAAGTGCTTTGAGACTTCGACTACCTGATAAGCCTTATTATTATTTATTATTTATTATTGATATTATTTATTAATATAGCTTTTTGTGGGATATTGCTATGTACAAATTGGCTGTTGTTCATGCTTACATGTACACCGTCACTACACTTCACAGTAATTACTTTGAGACATTTCGGTATTATGGTGCAATAATTATTCTTAACCCCTCCAATGTGGTTGGATTATTTTCAGGTGATCACTCCCTTCAGAAAATTAATGCTCTGTGCTGAGAACAGGAAAGAAATGGAAGATTGGATTACTGCTCTGAAGTCAGTCCAAAAATGGGAGAACTATGAGGTGAGGGAGTGGAAATGAGGCATCCGTCCTCGGGGAGAGTTCCTTGGACTAACAGTAAAATAATTTAAATAACTGATATCTAAACTCAGTTTCAATTATGTTTCAAGCTTACAGAGGATAGTCATTGAGGGGTTTTGATAGAGTAGATGGGGAGAAACTCTGGCGAGTGGGTTGGTAACCAGAGGAAACAGATTTAAGCTAATTTGCAGAGGTTAGTTGAGGAGAATTTTTTTTTAGTGTTGTTACCGTCTGGAATGCACTGCCTGAAAGGGTGATAACAGCAGATTCGATAATAGCTTTCAAAAGGGAAATGGATATGTACTTAAAAAGGAAAAATGTGCAGAGCTGTGGGGTAGAGGGGGAGTGGGACTAGTTGATAGCTCTATCATAGGCAAGATGGGCCGAATGGCCTCCTTCTGTGCGTAAGATTGCATGATTCTATATGTTTGGCCGATTAAAATTTCTTATGTGGTAAAGTTTGCTTGTGCTCTTTGTGAGCATGTTATGAAATAAACTTACTTATTCGGTATTATAACATAAATTGCCTGTGTATAAAGTATACAATAGTGTCCATATATACAATAAGATATGGCTTATAGTATATTACAATGTAGAACATATCTGATCATTCTGTGTTAATAAGGCTAACTGAATAACATTCAATCTACAGCATCAAAACAGGCCATTTAGTCCTTCCTCCAACTACAGTAATCCCTCCCACACAGTAGCCCCTCCTCCATAGTAACCCCACCCCACAGTAACTCCTGCCTCCCCACACACAGCATAGCTCGTCATTGATATTGCTGTCTGGCAAGCTTTCCCGCTGCTTGTCCAGCGAGGACCATCCAACCCTTTAGGTGCAGGGTTAACAGGAGCTGAGTGGGATGACTCCCTGACCCCAGTGACTGATCTGCTGATGATCCAGGCTGGGCTGTGCTGTCATCAACAGAGCTCTGGAATACTGCGGACTACCTCAGTGATTACTCTATTATTGCATTGTATATAGAGCATTGAGCAGTTAATCTATTTCAGTGGTAATGTCTCCAATGATAGTAGATGGTTTTACGAGACAAAATATTGTACTGAGTTTCACCCTCTAGGTTTGTACGCTTCCATATTCATAGGATGCAATATTGTGCCCCATATTCCCAAACCCCCTGGTGAGGGGAGGGAGAAATTTCCGGTTACATTGATTCAATCGGTGCTAACCAGGAACCTGACACACATTATAAACTCCCATCTCAGCCACTGTCACTGTCTCTCCTGCCAGCACCTGGCTGGCTCCATAGACCCCTTCACAACAACAACATATTATACAGTCAATTCACTCCACCCCTGGTGGAGGGTCGAAGAGGAGGATATTGCATTTTAGTGTTTTATATTTGACTGATGTCAATACGGGGTTTTGTCTTCAGGCAACGCAGCTGAACATGGAGCACTTCTCAGGGATGCACAACTGGTATGCCTCGTCCCACGCTCGGCCCACCTTTTGTAACGTCTGCCGTGAGGCCCTGTCCGGCATGACCTCCCACGGATTGAGTTGTGAAGGTATTACACACCTGTCCTACTCTGAATATATAATATACTAATAATTCTTAGCATTTCATACAGCGCCTTATCACGTCATTGAGACGTCTCAAAACGCTTCACAGAATACACTGTAAAGTGAATTGATTGTATATTTTGTGGGTGAAAGGTGGCAGCCAATTGCACACAGCAGCGTCACACAAACAGTCGTGGATTGAGTGACCAATTTATTATTATTATTTTTTGGAGGAATTAAAGCAATCCACCAATCAACTAACAACTGGGTTCCTACTTACTGTTAGGTAAACAGCGGCGTGTGGAGTAAGGAAACTTGCCCTGGAATCAAATCCAGGTCTCTTGCTTGCGAGGCAAGTGCTCTAACCATTGAGCTACAGGACTCCACAGAAATATACTGTAAAGTGGATTGCTTGTGTATTTTGAGGCTGGCTGAAAGGTGCTGTGTGCTTTCCCCTGACAGTGTGTAAATTTAAGGCTCACAAGCGCTGTGCTGTCCGGGCCACCAACACCTGTAAGTGGACTACGCTGGCCTCTGTAGCAAACGATATCATTGAAGATGAGGATGGGGTAAGTAGCTCGGTGCAGCGGGTGGTGATTGGAGAGTTTACTCTGAGCGCTTGATATATATAATAATTTTCACATTTTATGAAGCGTCTAATTGTATTTACTATAGCGCCTTATCATGTCTTTGAGACATTTCAAAGTGCTTCACAGAATATACTGTAGAGTGAATATGTTTTGTGAGCAAAATGTGGCACTCATTTGCGCTCATGTGGCACTCATTTGCGCACAGCAGTGTCCCATAAACAGCCGTGGAGTTAGTGACCAATGTTATGTGATGGATTGTTGGCCAGGACACCGGGCTGAATAGAGGAGTATATGATGGAGTAATGGACTATAGAGGTCAAGTGTGATCCAGGGTCAAGCCTGTTGTTACTGTCTCCACCTTCTCCGGGAGCTGTGAGGCCGACAGGGGGCAGTGAGGTCACAGGCAGCGTCCTGTAAGGCTTCCTGGGGGGGAGAAGGGGGAATCTCGTTCTCTTTCTCTCGGTTGTTATTAGTTGTGGCCTTGGGAGGCCTGAGAGACAAGAGAAACAAGGATCAGGAGGAAATTACATGGAAAGGTTATTTATTTTTCATCCAACATGATAATGATCAACACAACACACATCTTGACTCTGGGGACCTGGCTGGTAGTGGTATAATTCTCCTAATGCTTTCTCCCTCACTGAGCCCATCCCCTCTCCCCAGGTTGCGATGCCTCACCAATGGATGGAGGGGAACCTGCCGGTCAGCGCCAAGTGTGCCGTGTGTGACCGAGCCTGCGGCAGTGTCCGTCGCCTGCAGGACTGGAGGTGTCTGTGGTGCAAAGCGATTGTAAGGCTCTGGTCTCCTTGCGTCGGCTCCTAGTGAAAGCTTTCTGTGCTCACAATGGTGAACATACTAGAACCTGGCAGAGGGTGTGAGCATGTGGAACACCCTGCCCTGTGGAACAGGTGGAAACACAAAAATAATAATAATATTTGCATTTGATACAGTGCCTTTTCACGTCTTCGAGACGTCTCAAAGTGATTCACAGAATGTACCGTAAAGTGAATTCACTGTATATTTTGTGGATAAAACATGGCTGCCAATTGCGCACAAACAATCATAGAATTATACAATTATACAGCACAGAAGGAGGCCATTCGGCCCATCGTGTCTGTGCCGGCTCTTTGAAAAGAGTTTCCAAATCAATCCCACTCCACCGCGCTCTCCTCATAGCCCTGCAAACTTGTCCCCCCCAAATAATTATCTACTTCTCTCTTAAAAGTTGTTATTGAATTGGTTTCCATCTCCCTTTCAGCCAATGCATTCCAGATCCGAACAATTCACTGTGTGAAAGCTTTACAGTATATGGATTGAGTGACCAAATTATTATTATTTAAAAAAAATGTTTTTGAGGCAATTATTATCTCAGAAAAAGCGATCCGCTAATCAACTAACAACCAGTTTTCTACTTACTGCTCAGTAAACAGTGATGTGTGGAGTATGGAAACTTGCCTAAGTTTTCGCCCTGCCCGGGAATCGAACCCAGGTCCTCACTTATGAGGCGAGAGCTCTATCTACTACAATGTATTCCATATCTTGTTTCACAGGTTCACTATTCGTTCACTGAAATAGTGTTTGCATAGATTTGTTCTGAATTTACTCCCTTCAATCACAGGCCGTGTCCTCTGCTTTTACTATTCTGGACCATGTATTCAATATCTTGAAACAGTCTGTAGTGATCTATATTGTGTATCGTTTGACACATCCCAACATCTGATTTGCTTTACTCGCTGCCACAGAGCATTGTTGCGAGAGCTTCAATATATTGTCAATCAGGAACCCCAGATCCTTTCATTTCCATACATATTATTTTCCTTCCATTCAAATAATAGTCCTTTCCAGAAATTTTTATCCCCATGTGAAGTACTTTACATTTCTCCACATTGAATTTCATCTGCCACTGATCTGCTCAATTCCCAATTATGTTCAAATCCTCCTGTAACCTATCTTGTTCAGCTTTGCAATCTACCACCTGCATTAGCTTGGTGTCATCTGCAAACTTAGCCACTGTGTTTGCAATTCCTAGTTCCAGATCATTTATAAAAAATATTAAACAAAAGATGTCCCAAAACAGGCCCTTGTGGAACCCCACTGGTAACATTTTTCCAGTCTGATGACATTCCCTGTCCCACCACCCTTCCAGTCAACCAATTGCACATCCAAACCTCCACTGATTCCTGCTTTCTTTACTTTCAGTACCAGTCTCTCAAGTGGAACTGTATCAAAGGCCTTACACACACACACACACACACACACACACCATGGCATAGCCACAAACATACACACCATAACATAGCCATACACACATAACACACCATGTATAACCACACATACCCACATCATGGCATAGCCACACACAGATCATGTCATAGCCATACACACACCATAGCATAGCCATCGATGCAGAATCAATTGGAATCTTTAAAAGAGAGATACTGATCGGGAGTGTGTGACAGATGACAAGATATTGTGGTTCCCTCCTGTTCCAGAGCTCCTAACCCTCTCCAGATGTTTCTATCAATGTAGAATGTGGAGTCCTGTAGCTCAGTGGTTAGAGCACTCGCTTTGCAAGTGAGAGACCTGAGTTCAATTCTAGACAGAGGGCGAAACCTTGGGCAAGTTTCCTTACTCCACACAGAGCCTAATAATAACCCTCCAAAACCAAAACAATAATAAATTGGTCATTTTCAATCTACGACTGTTTGTGGGACATTGCTGTGCGCAATTGGCTGCCGCGTTCGCCCACAAATATACAGTCAATTCACTTTACAGTGTGTTCTGTGAAGCGCTTTGGGACGTCCTCCCGATGTGGAAAACGCTATATCAAATGCAAGGATTATTATTATTATTATATTATGTCAAAATGGGCTCAGCCCCTCATTGACAGGTGTCTGTGATGTATCTCTTATCTGTTGGGTTTTAACTGCAAAACAGATTCTTGATCAGCACGTCAGCAGTGAGGCTGGGAATGTTCCACAGAATTACTTACCCAAACAATCTGCAATTTTGTGCCCAGGCCAGTGCAATCACTCAGGCTGCACTGAAATGGAATTAGAGGGCATTACTGCAGAAACTATCAGCTCTCACGTCCAGTTAGGGATGTGAGGGTAGTCAGACGTTGGGTATGTGGGGAAGGCATTGTGCTGGATTGGGATTAGATAGTTGACTGTTCACATTACCCCAGGAATGCACTGTAATAAAATACAATAATAACCCTTGCATTTGATAGAGAATTTTTCACATCAGGTCAGGAGGATGTCTCAAAGCCCTTCACAGTATTTACTGTAAAGTGTAGTAACTAATTTGTGCGCACCAATCCAACAAACAGCCATGGAGTGAGTCACCAATTTTATTTGGGGGATTGTTGGCCAGGACACCGAGAGAGAAACTCTCTTCTCATTTTGTATAATGCCATGAGATTTTTATTGCCCACCTGGAGAGGCTGATGGGGCCTTGTGGCTGTGTGTATTTATATGTGTGTACATGTTTGTGTGTATTTATAACAATCATTGGATTTGATATTATGTCTTTGAGACGTCTCAAAGTGCTTCACAGAATATAGTGTAAAGTGAATTGACTTATGATTTTTGTGGGAAAGATGCGACAGCTGATTACGTATGGCAGTGTCCCACAAACAGTCATAGATTGAGTGACCAATTTATGTGTATGTATATGTCTGTGTGTTTGTATGTGTTATGTGGGGTGTGTCTATGTGTTTTCCTGACAGCACTGAGCTCCTGTTTAAGTGTCCAAGCCGTTAGTAAACTTGTCTGAGCAGGTGTAACTTGTGTTTTGCAGGTACATAATGTGTGTAAGGAGCAGTTTGAAAGGAAGTGCCCCCTGGGTCAGTGCAAGCTGTCAATCATTCCCCCAACCTCCCTAAACAGTATTGACTCTGATGGTAAGTGATGGAGGCCAGAGCATGTCAGCAAGCTCAACCCTCCTCTCCCTCAGCTCTTATCTTCACCCTCAAAATCACCAGCTCACTTTCACTTTGATGTGAAAGGCGCTACACAAATGTAATTTGGTTGTTGTTGTTGATGGAATTCCAGAAAGCACTTTGTGCTGAGCCTATACGTGTCCCGTTGAAGCCGCTGAAGTAAAGTTGCCATTTAGTCAGGAACCCCCAATGTGAGGGCCTCACTCCCACCTCATTCCCTCAGATACCTCCCTACGGAGGCCTGTGCAAAACCCTAATGGGTTTGTGGAGTCCTGTAGTGCAGTGCTTAGAGCATTCAATTAACAAGTGAGAGGACCTGGGTTTGATTCCCGGGCAGGGCAAGACATTAGGCAGATTTCCTTACTCCACACGCCTCTGACTACCTAGTAATCCAGTTGATTGGCGGATCATTTTTCTGGGGAAATAATCCCTTCAAAAAAATAATAATAATTTTGTCACTCTGTTTGTGGCACACTGTGTGCATAACTGGCTGCCACTTTTCACCCACAAAAATACAGTCAATTTACTTTACAGAATATTCTGTGAAGCGCTTTGAGACGTCTCATTGACATGATAAGGCGCTGTATCAAACACAAGGATTATCATTATGTGTCAAGTATAAGATTATTATTAATAATAAGTGCCTGAGCGAGAGTGCTGAGTGGCTACCCACACACCACTGTCAGCAAGCCACTTCCAGTTGAACAGAATGATTGGTTGTCCATTTATCTAAGGAATTGACCAGCCTGGGTGTGGGCTGGCTTTGTGCTGAGCTCAGGAGGAGTGAGAAACCCTCCACATTTACATCACAATCAGCGTTCAGCACTGAGAGGCGCCCACATTCCAAGTCCCCACAGCATGAAATTGTGATTTTTTTATAAACTCAGACTTCTGGATTTCAATTTGATTTCTCCTCACTGTATACACTGCCGCATTTATTACCTCACTACATGCAGAGGTGAGTGAGGCTCAGTGTGTGTGAGGGAATATATAGCTCAGATAACCTGTGTTCCACCTGGACAGGTACAGGTATCTCCTGAGCTGCCACTTCAAACAGTCTCTCTCTCTCCTGGCTTTGTGTTCACCCACAAATCCAAATACAGTGGCAGCTGCTTTAGCTGGACACTGGTTAACCTCGGGCACCGAGTAAATTAGACAAATTTAACACCTGGCCCCAAATCATTTGTATTCTTATCTGTTTTAAATATGATGGTTAATTCGTACAGCAATCTGGTTAGTCCGGACAGAAAGACCCGCTGGTTTCTGCAGAATCTACTCACTTGGGCCTTCTGTGTATAGAGTGGCTCCTGGATGGAGATGGGAGGAGTCAAATTATGCTTAACTGACAGCGGACTCCAGCCATTCACAATCAGTGAGGAGGCCGAGGACCTGGGAGGAAACAAGGGAGTGAATGGGAGGAGTCAAATGGTGATTTATTAACAGCTGAAGCCGCTTGTAACTGGAGCCCAAAGATTCACAAGCGGCTCCAAGGCTGTCACCGCGAATTGGTCCCTTTCCGGTCCAATGGGAGGAAGGAGCAGACACCGCCACTCCTCTGCTGGGCGGGAAGCAATAAGAGAACTTCAGTTAACATCATAGAATCATAGAATTATACAGCACAGAAGGAGGCCATTCGGACCATCGTGTCTGTGCCGGTTCTTTGAAAAGAGTTTCCAAATCAACCCCACTCCCCCACTCTCTCCCCACAGCCCTGATCAACCCCACTCCCCCACTCTCTCCCCACAGCCCTGATCAACCCCACTCCCCCGCTCTCTCCCCACAGCCCTGATCCCCACTCCCCCGCTCTCTCCCCACAGCCCTGATCAACCCCACTCCCACTCTCTCTCCCCATAGCCCTGATCAACCCCACTACCCCACTCTTTCCCCACAGCTCTGATCAACCCCACTCCCCCTGAATTTGGCACATTCACAGCCGATTCCCCCAGTCCTGGCCAGACTGCACTGGCTGCCTATCCCAGAGAGGATCGATTTCAAGATCCTCACCCTTGTATTCAAGTCCCTGAACTCCTCATGCCCACTTCCTACGCTCAGCAAGCTTCGGCCTGCTTCAGGTATACCGCCTCTCCTGCCCCATCTTTGGCGAATGGGCCTTCTGCCACTCTGGCCCCACCCTCTGGAACTCAATCCCACAGTCGCTCTGCCTCACCCGCTACCTTGCCTCCTTCAAGATCCGTCTCAAGACCCTCATCTTCGACCGTGGTTTCAATCACCCTGCTTCTCCCCCTGCCCTCCACCCTCCCCAATCCCTAAACCCATCTTGGGTCCGAAACTCTGACTGTCCAGCGCCTTGGGACATCCTCCCAACGTGAAAGGTGCTATACAAATGTAATTTTGTTGTTGATCAATTTTATTTGAGGAATTGGTGGCCAGTACACCGGGAGAGAGAGCAACTCCCTTCTCTTTCTTCAGTTGAACGTCATAGGATCTTTAACATCCACCTGGACAAGTAGACGGGACTTTACTTTACCTGGTAACACCTGCTACTGATTTACATTTTCTGCAGTCAGAGAACACCATAAATTTTCCCATAACACAAGTTCACAAAGCCTTACACAGCCTCACACAGCTCCTCCACTCTGTCAGTCACAGCAGATTGTAGCGCTGTGTGTCATTATGTTATAATAATAATCTTTGCATTTGATATAGCGCCTTATCACATCTTCGAGACGTCTCAAAGCGCTTCACAGAATATACTGCAAAGTGAATTGACTGTATATTTTGTAAGTGAAACATGGCAGTCAATTGCACACAGCAGTGTTCTACAAACAGTTATGCATTGAGTGACCAAATTATTATTATTATTTTATTTAATTTTTTTTTTTAAAGATTATTACCCTTGGAAAAGCAATCAGTCAATCGACTAAAAAACAGGTTCCTACTTCCTGCTAGGTAGACAGAGGCATGTGTAGTAAGGAAACTTGCCTAATGTTTTGCCCTGTGCAAGAATTCAATCCAGGACCTCTCGTTTGCAACGTGAGTGTCATTATGTTATAATAAGCTACAGGACTCCACAAAATGAGGCTTTCAGAGAAAATTGTTATTGCCTTTCACCAAAACAATGGAGATATTGGGTGAAGGTTAAAGTCTGGTATTGCTGTAACACACAGAGCGTTTGCTTTTGTTCAGGCTTCTGGAAGGCTACCTGTGCCGAGTCGTGCAGGAGCCCACTGCTGGTCCTCGTGAACTCCAAGAGCGGCGACAACCAGGGTGTCAAGTTCCTCAGGAAGTTCAAGCAGCTCCTGAACCCAGCCCAGGTTTTTGACCTGATGAATGGAGGGCCTCATCTTGGGTATGTCTCCTTCCTCCCGCTTGAACTTGCCAGCCCTGTTCACCTGTCAGCCCTGCCACACGTTCAGCCTCTCTGCCCCCACCCTTTGGAACTCCATTCCCCAGTCCCTTCACTTCACGCTCTCCCTTGTCTCCTTCAAGGCATATCTCAAGACCTCCTCTTCAACCGCACCTTCAGTTATCCTCCTACCCACCTTTCTTGCCTTCCACCCCTCCTGATCCCAAACCTCAGCTCGGGTCCACATCCCTGACTGTTCAGCATCTTGGGACGTCCTCCCGATGTGAAAGGAGTTGTGTAAATGTCATTTGTTGTTGTTGCCCTGCCCCACCTGCCCAAGTTGACATCCTGCCACCCCTTTCTGCTTGACCACGGATGGTGGAGCGAGCAGGGCAAGGGATCCGAGAGCAGGCCAGTGCCAGCCGAGCAGATTTTAATAGGTCACAGAGATAGGGTGGCGCTCTTAACATATTTCATGCAGCTCGAAATAAAGATACCGACAGTAATGTTTCGGTCCGCTTGTTTTTATTGAGGACGAGACTCCCCCTAGTGGTGATCGACGGGTTGGAGCAGAGAGCCCAGCATAGTGAGAAGAGGAACAGTATGAGAATTCTGTTAAAGAATTTGGTGAGAGTGGGAATTCTTGAGCAAGCGAGAACCAGCGAGCAAGCGAGAATTCTTATTTTTAGCAAAAGAGTGGGAATTGTTTCTGGAGCAAGAGAGAACTTTTCAAGCAAACAGGTCAAAAGTCAAATTGGCAGTTAGTCTTAGGCCAGGTGTTAGGGATCAGTTAATTAATTAATTATTTGATGAACAGTTGAAACTGGTTGTCTCAGAGGCCTATATAAAGGGGAGAATTGGAAAATTATGGAAACTTTTATTAAGAATAAAATCATGTAGCATCTGGACAGAAATAAAATCATAAATTATTGCCAATTATTGTTCATGAAGCGAAGGCCTTGCCAATCTAATTTACTATTTTTCTTCGACGGTGTGGCAAGGCAGCTTGATATGGTAAGGCTGTGGCTAGACAGTGATTAACAACAACAACAAAAAAATTATATTTATATAGCGCCTTTCGCATCTGGAGGATGTCCCAAGGCGCTGGACAGCCAGAGTTACGGACCCGAGCAGAGGGTGGGGGAGGGCAAAGGGGAAAGGAGGGAAATCGAAAGCTCCGTCGAAGAGGAAGGTCTTGAGGTGTTGAAGGTGGTGAGGGAGGTAAGTTTGCAGATGAGACCAAACTAATGAATGTGGCAGATTGCGAAACTGAACAAGATGGGTTACAGAAGGATTTGAACATACTTTGGACTTGGGCAGATTGGTGGCAGATGTAATTCAATGTAGAGGAAGGTAAAGTATTTCACATGGAGGACAAAAAATCCTGGAAGGGACTATTATTTGAATGGAAGCAAAATAATATGTCTGGAAAATGAAAAGGACCTGGGGGCCCTGATTGAATAAATTGAAACTCTCCAACAATGCTGTGTGTCAGTGAGCATTTGGGAAATTATTTAGGTGAGAAAAGAGGGGGAGATGGGGCCAAACGTGTGAACGGAGTGGGGGCCGGAGATGGCAGTAGAAAGAACAGAGGCAGAGGAGCGGATCCTCTTGATTTTGGACTCAAAGAAGTCCATCATTTCTTCACATTTGGAGTTGTAGGAAAGGATGAGAGAGGCAGAGGAAGGTGGATGGAGTAGCTGGTTGGTGGTGATGAAGAGGAGCCTGGGGATTATCCTTCACCTCCAAGATGATCTTGAACCAGGGTATTTTTAGCTGAGACAAGAGCAGAGCGTTAGGTTTGGGGTGGTCCAGCCAGATTTGCCAATGGGCTGTTGGATTTGTGCTATGTTTATTTGGCGGCATGAGGCAATGGAGGTGGCTGGTGTACCGGAGACTTGTGGGAGTAGGAGATAGTGTGGGAGGTCACGGGGGTAAAGGTAGCAAAATATGGGTTGTGGAGGAGAGTGCAAGCACTGTCTGATGAACTTTCTCCTACCCATTAGGGCTTTGACCTGCAGGGTTTACAGGTCCTGTCGATGAGCCAGGCTGGCCGTGCTGTTATCAGCAGTGCCCTGAAATACTGCTGACCGCCTGGCTCAGGAACTGGACTGGTGACACTCCCACCAAAAGGTAGTGCGTTCTCACAAGCTTGACTGTAAAGAAAGGTTTTCCTATGTGGTTCTAACCCGTTTTTCTGTTTTTTGTCCCAGTCTACGTTTATTTCAGAAATTTGCCACTTTCCGTATCTTGGTGTGTGGAGGCGATGGAAGTGTGGGATGGGCATTGTCGGAAATTGACAAACTGGGATTACACAAGCAGGTGAGGCAATGTGATCTCCTCATTGTCCAGCAGCAGTTGGTGGAAGCTGTGCGTGGCCAACTCTGTCAGTGTGAGGAATCCACGTGGGCTTCAGGCCCATCTGATCGCTCATCTCATCGGTGTTCAGATCGGGGCAGACACACAGGGACCGTGCCAGTTTACACTGAGAGCTGATTTCAGCCAGCGCATGATACCAGCACCACACATAGCATCAGAGCATGTTCCTCTCCAAAGGCCTGAAAGTCCACTGAGCCTTAGCCTGTCTTAAAATGTAAAGTTGTAGAGGTTTGTAGAAAATGATTCAATCTACACTTAATGTGGAACCTAGTTATGTTAAGGAAGTTATGTTGAACCATGATAACTCTCTGGTTAGGACTCAGCTGGAGAATTGTGTCCAATTCTGGACACCACACTTTAGGAAGGATGTCCGAATGGCTTCTTTCTGAGCTGTAAGATTCTATGATTCTACTTTTTCAACATGTATTAAGAAAAGGTTTCAAATTGAGACTGAAGTGAAGAATGTTTTACATTTCTTCAGGATTTTAAACTGGGTGTAGTCTTGCAGCTCAAACATGAAGTTACATACAGGTAAACGCACTGCTAGTGTCGCACTTTCAGTCAGTATAATGTGATATCCCCAATGGTGGACACTCAGCGTACAGACATGGCTGCCACATTCAGGTACAAAACACACAGTCACTACATATTACAGTAAATTCTGTGAAGCTCTTTGAGACGTTGCCTGATGTGAAAGGCACTATTTCAAATGCAAGGCTGATCTATTTTATTAAATCACAATCTTTCTGCTTCCAGCACAGTTGGGTTTGAGGTGAAGTTAGTGTGACTGTGGGTGGGAGTTGCTGAGCCACGCTGATTCTCTGCTGGTTCTCTCTGTAGTGTAAGCTTGGCGTGCTGCCCCTGGGGACTGGCAATGACCTGGCTCGAGTGTTGGGCTGGGGAGGATTGTGTGACGACGACGCACAGCTGTTGCAGGTTGTGGCGAAGCTGGAACGAGCCACGACTAAAATGCTGGACAGGTAACATAAGGAAGAGATGCATCGTATGTGACCTGATTGTAACCAGACTAGCCCTGTGCTCTCTCTGGGTGTGTACACACTGAGTGACGCTCTCTCTGGGATGTGGACACACTGAGTGACGCTCTCTCTGTGGGGTGTACACACTGAGTGACATTCTCTGTTTATATTCTGTAGATGGAGTATCATGATCTATGAAGTGCCAACCAAACCGCTTCCTGTTGTGAAGGAGGATGAAGTTGATGACTGCAATGTGCAGGTATGAGGTTCCCAATGGGTCAGGCTTGGGTATGAGCTGGGGAGTGGGGGTGAGCAAGCTGGTGGTGGGAGGGTTGGTTGGGGGGAGCCCAGTCGGCCAGTGAGAGCTGTGATGCTGATTTACCATTGGCGGGCAGGCCTTTTGACATTCTGCCCCCCACCCTCTGGAACTCAATCCTGCTGTCCCTCCGCCTCGCCCCCTCCCTTGCCCCCTTCAAGGCTGGTCTCTTCAACGTGCCTTCGGTTACCCTCCATCCCCTCCCCTCCCGCCCTCCACCCTCCCCGATCCTAACCCCCAGCTCGGGTCTGAAACACTGATTGTCCAGAGCCTTGGGACGTCTTCCCGACGTGAAAGGCGCTACAAATATAATATTGTTGCTGTTGTTATTTACTGGAAAATCATCATATTTGTATTTGATACAGCATCAATAACATCAAGACATCTCAAAGCCCTTTAAAAGGCAATGTAAAGAGTAGTGATTGCGTATTTGTAGGCGAAATGTGGCAACCAATTTGTGCACAGCAGGTAGGAGGTGAATGACCAGTTTAGCTGGGGATTGTTAGCCCGGACACCGGGAGAGAGAAATTCCTTTCTCTGTTTGAATAGCACCGTGGGATCTTTAACATCCACCTGAACAGGCAGAAGGGACCTCGATTTATCTCCTCATTTGAAGGCTGGCACCTCTGACAATGCTGCCGTGGGCCTGGCATGTCGGCACGTGTGATCCACTCCCTCAGCTGAGAGCTGCTGAAGGCACCTCCCCCACGCTGGGACCTCGCAGTGAGCCTGGAGCTTCATCTAATGTGACAATCTTTAATAATGTTTAATAAATTAACCACTGTCAAAACAAAAGATTTCTGTGCCAGAGCTGAGCTGTGAATGTGCCAAATTCAGGGGGAAAACTGTTTTTGTGACTTTGATTCACATCAGAGACCAATGTGGTTAAATGGGCATGTGAATAATTGGTGTACAGATAAGTGGCATTCTACTGCATCAATGTAGATATTGCGTGTCGGAGGCTCAGTGGTAGCGTTCTCGCCTCTGAGACTGAAGGTTGTTGATTTGAGCCACATGTTGGGACTTGGAATCCATTTAGTTGAGGATGACTCTCCAGTGCAATGTTGGGGAGTGTTCCACTGTTCCAGATGTCATCCTTCAGATGAGATGTTAAATCAAGGTCCCATCTGCTGCTCATGTTAAAAATCCCACGGCGCCATTTAAAAAGAGAAGGGAGTTTCTCTCTTCCAGTGTCCTGGGCCAACAGTCCCCCAAATAAAATTGTCCCTCACTCCATTGCTGTGCATTTGCCCACAAAACAGAAAGCCAGACTTTACAGTACTGTATATCCTATGACTCGCTTTGGGACTTTTCAACCAGCTGGTAAGGCACTGTATCAAATACCAGCATTATTGAAGTAGGAAGTCATTGCAGTGTACAATCAGGTACAAATTCCATTGTGGATTGATGTATTGAACACCTTGGGACATCCTCCCGACGTGAAAGGTGCTTTAAAACTGCAATTTTGTTGTTGTTATTGTTGAGAGATACAGTCTATTGTGGTTCAATGACAATGAACACTGACTCCTTTTATCTATTTTCCAGATTCAAATCTCACAATATGCTGACTCAGTGGTGCACCATTTAACAAAAATCCTTGATTCAGACCAACACTCTGATGTTATTTTGTCCGCCAAGTAAGTCTGCGCAACGAGTCTATAGTGTGTCCCTGTTCAGGCTCCTTTTCAAAATCATGGTTCAATTTAATCCTGGATGTTTAAATCCTGGAGGGTGTGCTCACAAAGGGGGAAAAGATTTGAGGGAACCAAGCACTAGGGAATAACTCTTCCATGAACTCATTTACCATTCCCCCCACCCCTCCGCAGTAAACACTGGGAGTATTCAGGACATCTCCTGGACTGTGTAATCCCAGCCTGTGTGTACCTCCAGTCTTCAGGCGAGATATTAAACCAAGATTCTATCTGCCTGTTGTCCAGATGGATGTTAAAAGTTCCTGTGGCACTATTTAAGAATATGGTGTCCTGGCCTTTCAGATGAATCAGTCACTTCCTTCTTGCTGTCCCTAACCTGGCTGCTGATCTGCCCTAAAAGGCAATGGGTTTGTGTATTTCAGTCTTAATTTTCTGTCTCCTCTGTTAGTGATGGATTTGTAGTTTTATGGAATCTTACAGCAAAGAAGGAGGCTATTTGGGCCATCATGTTTGTACCAGCTCTTTGAAAGAGTTACCAACAAATCCCACTCCCCCACCCTTACCCAATACCCCTGCAAATTTTTCCTTTTTAAATGCCTATCCAATTCCCTTTTGAAAGCTACAAACAAATCTGCTTCCAGGCAGTGCTTTCCAGACCGTAACATCTCACTTTTTGCCAATTAGCTTAAATCTGTCCTCTTGTAACTGATCCACCCGCCAGAAGAAACAGTTTCTCTCTGTCTACTCTTTCAAATTTTGAACACCTCTATTAAATCTTACTGTATCTGCTCTAAGGAGGATAAAAGTTTTGTTATATTCTCCCTCTTGTGCTTGATCTGAAGAATGATCATTGCCGTGTGGTGAATTTCAGATTTCTCTGTGGGACGGTGAATGACTTCATCACTGAAGTTGGAAAAACCTATGAACAGACCAAAGAGAATAAGGAGGAAGCAGATATTATGGCAAAGAAGGTCAGTGTTGCTGCAGGAGCCGTTGACACAACAGTGAACATAGGAACTGGAGTAGGCCATCTAGCCTGTTCCCCCATCCGATAAGATCATGGATGATATGTACCTCAACGCCAATTACTCACAAGGCCTCATAATCCCATTGATACCCCGACCTAACAAGTATCTATCCACCTCAGTCCTGAAAATTTGAATGGATCCAGCATTTTTTTTTGGTTAGCTGTCTGACACATGCAGAAACCCATCACCATGCTTAGGAGTCTCCAAACCAAACTGAGATTTCCATGCGTCACACCTACACATGGAAAACCCAGAGATAGATTGTTGGAATGGAATGCGCTCTCTCTCCCTGCTTACCTAATTCACGCCTGAAGCATTAAGTGCAGTTGGCAAGAGCCAAGCTTTGGGGACCCCAAAGGGGTCACCCGCTGGGGTAACTGCTGGAGTCTAAATGGCTAAAACCGCATAGCTTGCCATTGATATTGCTGGCCGCAAGCTTTGCCGCTACTTGTCCAGCTAGAACCTCCTAGATTAGAGCTTTGTCTGCAGGGTGGGATGATTCCCTGCCCCAAGTTCTGCCGATGAACCAGACTGGGCTGTGCTGACATCAGAAGTGGAATTCTGCTGACCCACTTGACTCAGGAAGAGAAAGTCATGAAGGGCTGGCTCGATTCGGACATTCCATTGCCAGGCATGTCACCTTGGAGCTATTTCCTTGGAGAAATCCAGCATCCAACAGCCTTTTGGGGGAGAGAGTTCCAGATTTTCAATATCCTATGGGTGAAAAACTGCCTCATGATTTCACTCCTAAATGGCTTAGCTTTTAACATTATAACCCCTTGTTCTGGATTTGCCCACCAGAGAAAATAGTTTCTCTGTATCTATCCTATTCAATCCCTTTATTATTTTAAAAATCTCAATTAAATCACCCCTCAACCTTCTAAACTCAAGGGAATACAGACCAAGTCTCTGCAGCCTTCCACATCATCATAATTAAATCGTTTGAAACCAGATTCTCTCTATCTAGTCTATCAAAACCCCTCATAAAGTTGAAGATCTATTAAATCTCCCCTCAACCTTGTCTGCTTTAGGGAGAACAATCCCAGTCTCTCTAGTCTCTCCACATAATTGACGTGGAGATAAATCTTTCCAAACCGGCTATTTGAAGCACTTTGAGACATCTCAAAGATGTGATAAGGCCCTATATCAAAGACAAGGATTATTATCACATCTGACGTTAATAAATTTCTGCTGTGAGAATAGCTTTTCTTGGCAATATGGTGGGGTTTATCAGGATCCAGGTTCAGATTGCCATCCCTGGACACTTGTTTGACCTTTCCTGCTGGTCCTCTCTCCAGTGGTGGAATGTATACCACATTCATGGAAGCATTTTTCCAAGAAATCTCAGTACAGGAGGTGATTTCAGGCGAGTGCCTGTGCAGTGCTGGCTCCCCACTGCAGCTATACACAGTCCTCTCTCATCCTGTATCCCTGCAATCCACAAACCCTTTTATTTCTTCAAATGTTTTCTTTTCTTTTAAATTTTGTAAGTGGCTCGACTAGCTCTGGACCCCTTCATGTCCCTCTGCCCTCCATTCCACCATCGATGACCGTGCTTTTAGCCACTGCGCCCCAAAACTATGGAATACTCTTGCACTATCCCTCCACCTTCCTTCCCCATCTTCAGATTGCGCCTGAAGACCTTCCTCTTCAACTGTGCCAACTGTCAGTTGCCCCCTCCCCCGGTTCTGCATGGTGTTCCACCACTGTCAAGCGCTCTGGGACTCTACTCCACATTGTTCTAGTTGTCGGCTGTGACTGTTTCCCTCCTCCCACAGTGCGCCATGTTAAACGAGAAGCTGGACTCGCTGGTGAAGGCTCTGAATGAGGAATCGCAGGCTGTGATTGTTCCCTCCGGATTGTCCCCTCCAGTCCCCAGCCAAAGGCAGGACGGCAAACATACAGAGAACGGCGGACACCAGGACATCGGTCCTGACTCCAAATGTGTGGCCAAGATCTTCAAGTCCAAAGAGCAGCTGATGCTCAGAGCCAACAGCTTAAAGAAAGCTCTGAAGCACATCATTGAACAAACTGAAAAGGGTTTGTTGACAGCAAAACTGTTTCTGTTACAATAACATGTATCATAGACAAGAAAAATCATTCCAAAGTTTTATTTCTTTGAGTAAAAATTCTATTTCCTATCTTCTCCAGTTCTAATCTTCTCTGTGTTCCACCACCGATGTTAGGCTGACTAACCTGTAGTTACCAGGCTTATCCCTCTCCCCTTTTTTGAATAGGGGAGTAGCATTTGCTGCTTTTCAGTTCTGAGGCACTATTCCTATATCCAAGGGGTATTGAAAGATTGTGGCTAGAGCCTCCAATATTTCCACCCTTACTTCCCTCGGCAATCTAGGATGAATCCCATCCGGACCGCTGACTTTTCTACTTTGAGCACTGCTAACCTTTTAAGTACCTCCTCTATCTATTTGTATCCTTTCCACTTTCTCTACCTCCTTCTCCTTTGTGACATTGGCAGCATTCTCTTTTGTGAAGACAGAAGCAAAGTTCCCATTCAGTGCCTCAGCCATGCCTTCTGCCTCCACAGGAAGTTTTCCTTTTTGGTCCCTAATTGTCCCCACCCTTTCTTTGACCATCATTTTACTCTTTATATGTTTATAGAAGACTTTAGAGTTCCCTTTTATTTTATCTAATCTTTTCTCATACGTTCTCTTTGCCTCTTTTTCAGTTCTTCTCTGTACTTTCTGTATTCTGCTACAAAATCTAATGGATTTTGAACCTGACATTCATCTTAACGCTCGTTTTTCTGTTTCATTTTAAGCCTAATTTCTTTCGTAATCCAGGGAGCTCTAACTTTGGATGCCCTACTTATCCTCCTCATGGGAATGCGTTTGGTCTGCACCCTAACTATCTCCTCCTTGAAGGCCTTCCATTGCTCATTTGCAGTTTTGCCTGTCAATCTTGGTTTCCAATCCACCTGGGCCAGATGCCTTTTCAGCTCTCTGAAATGAGCCTTTTCCCATTGAGTATCTTTACCTTTGATTGTTCCTTGACCCCCATAATCATTACTCTATTATTTTTACATCTTTCTGTAATTTGCTTCCAGATTTGCTCCTCTACCTCCTTCCCACTGTTTGATGGTCTATAGTATACACCTAGTGTAATAGCTCCTTTCGTGCTCCTCAACTCTAACCAAATAGATTCTGTAGATGAGCCCTCCAGCACATCATCCCTTTCCAGGACGTAACAGTATCTTTGATCAATACTGTCACCCCTACCTCACTTCTTCCCTATCCCTCCTGTATATCCCCTCCCCAAGATTACCATCCTATGTAATGTGGCACTGTGAAGTTCCTCATCAGTCATTTGTGTGTCAGCCTGGCTCAGTTGGTAGCACTCTTGCCTCTGATTATGAACTCAGTAGAGTCTGACTCATGCTTTGTAGAACTCAGCCCACTGATGTCAGAAAGGAACCAATTATTTGCGATGGGAGGATATCAGTAATAATAAGATTAACATATTTGATACAGCAACTTTCACATTGGGAGGATGTCCCAAAGCTCTTCACAGGATTTACTGTAAAGTGCAGTGACTGTGTGTTTTGTGGACAAACATAGCAGCCAATTTGTGGACAACAGTTTCCCAAAAACAATCCTAAGGTGAGTTTCTTGGGGATTGCTGACTGGGAGATGGAGCCTCGGTTTAATTTCTCATCCAAAGGACGGCACCCCCAATAATGCAACACCCCACCAGCTCTGCATTGGAATGTCAACTTAAAATATATAATGCTACCAACAGCGCTAGGCTGTCACATCTTGGAGGAGGGGAGGGACAAACCTCAGGCCACCTCAGCCTATCTGAAGCACCTTTTTTTTTACACTGATTTATTTTCTGAATTTCTATTGCTTCCTGTTAAAGATGAGAGACCTCAATTTCCCCACACGGGGTAACAAATAGGAACTCCGTTCTGGAAGTGGTTTGGTCGGAGCAATGGTCTAAATGAAGAATTTACCCAGAAATGCAAAACTAAATGAAAAACTATTTTAAAGTAATTAAAAAAAACAGCTGGTGATGTACCTGTGAGAGTGTGACCTGGGCTCAGTATTTTATTGTCACTGACATTCTCTGCTGGAACTCTGTGACTATTGGCTTTCTCTGTTGTAGTGGTCGATGAGCAGAACAAACACACACAGGTGAGCCGGAGCGAGTCCACCATCTCCACGGCCTCGCTGAGGAGAGAGGGTGAAGAGGTCGGGCAGAGAGACACAGAGACACGTGAGTTAGTCCCAGCAATGAACAGAGCGCGGGGCCTAAAACAAGATCATTGAGAGAAATTCCTTAATTGCCACCCCCAAGTGGAGACCAGATACGTCACTCAGACACAAGAACTCCCAACCCATCTCTCTTTGTTTCCCATGAGTCCCTCAATAGTTCTCATAATTCAGTCACTGAATCCAGGACTGTGGGACGCTGCTGTGTGCAATTGGCTGCCGCGTTTCACCCACAAAATATACAGTTAATTCACTTTACAGTATATTCTGTGAAGCACTTTGAGGCGTTTCAAACACGTGATAAGGCTCTATATCAACTGTAAGGATTATTATTCCAAATTAAGACTGGATATCCACAATTCTGCCCTGTGTTACATTTTAAAACAAAACGGTGTCTCATGCTGAGACTAACAGAAAGTTTGGAGTCTCAGCACTGAGTTGTGTAGGAGCTGCTGGCAGCACAATGTGATGCTAACCTGTGGCGTTGGTTTCTGAGCAGGAGTAAAGACCGGAACAATGACCACAAGTTCCAGCATCGTCCTTGATAGTGACTCAGTGACCACCGTCAGCTTACCAGACCATCCCAGCCTGTTGTAAGTTACTGTCTGAGGAAAATCTTACACTGTATACACTGCTCATTCACCTTTAAACTTGCCTCAATCAGTGTATTCCAGCCAGTCACTTACTTTTTAACTGTATTGATTTTTGTGCTTCTAAAGTATAATGGGCATTACCGCTAGGAAATAAAGATTCTGTCAATAACATCCAGTTATATCAATCACTCCAGCTGTCGCTGATGCACAGTGTAGAGGGAGCTTTACTGTGTCTCTAACCCTGACCAGGGAGTGTGGACACACAGTGTAGAGGGAGCTGCTCCTCCCTGTGTGTGTGTGTGTGTGTGGGGGTGGGGGGGGGGTGTTCACACCTAACACAAGCGTGTAACAGTACATTATTTAAATAGTGTGGGTATTTAAAGGCTGACAATGAGCTGCTTGGGTTTTGAGTAAAGTTACATGCAGGTAATAGCAGCTGCTGTGTTTGTGTCCCAGGCCCTACGCTGAGAAATGTGTGATGAACAACTATTTTGGGATTGGCTTGGACGCTAAGATCTCCCTGGAGTTTAACAACAAGCGGGATGAGCACCCCAAGAAATGTCGGTAGGTTTTATCGGATTTCCCTGCTCCTGAGGCTGCAGAGCTCTCTAGGTCGTGTCACTGGGAAAGAAATCTTTTCATTTGTCTGGTCTCCAGACGAGTGGATCTGGAGCTGGTCACTGACTCACTTCTGTCCTCAAATTAATTTTTTTTGCTCAGCCGAGTGTCTGACACACTTGAAACCCATCACCATGCTTAAGAGTGTCTTAACCAAACTGAGATTTCCATGCACCCCACCTACATATGGAAAGAGACATTTGATGAACCCAAGTCTGTTAAACAATGTGAGCTTTATTTGTGGTAAAGGATAGCAGCCATAGATCATTGCCAAGTCTGAGATTCCTTGAGGTGGACACCAGCCTTGTCCCTCTCCTGGTACTCCTCACTCTGTCATGTGTCTAGGTGGCAGCCTGCACCATTGGCCATGGCCAAGCTGTGGACCTGATCTCCCTTTGTTCACAAACTAAGGAATCTGTGTTATATTTCAAATCCCTTCATGCCCTGGCACCTCCCTATCTCTCCGACCTGTTTACTCCACAATCCACTACCCATTGCCTCTGCTCAACTGGCTGCATGTTCTCCTCCTCTTTCTGTATGTCCCTCATGCCCTCCATGCCACGCTTCCAGTGACTACACCACAAAACTCTGGAACACTCTTTATCCCTCTGCCTTGCCCCTTCCTATCCCATTTTCAGATTGACTTCCTCTTCAACCGTGCCACTGTCTAGTCCTCTGGGACTGCGTGAGGGGCACTATATAAATACAACGTTTTGTTGTTGATGTTAGATTAATTCCCCTTTTTGTGAATTTCACTGTTGGAGCCAGCTGCGAATTGAAAGATTTCTATTTATTTTCGGTGTGTTCAGAAGCCGAACAAAGAACATGATGTGGTATGGAGTCCTGGGCACCAAGGAGTTGCTCCAGAAAACATACAAGAATTTGGAACAGAGGGTTCACCTGGAGGTAAGAGAGAACCACAGGATCACCTCCACAGTGATTTCTGTAGTGAGGAGCCACATGTTCAGCATATTCATTACGCCATTTGAGCTTGGTTGGAAGACCTCACATTGGTCAGATAGTGGTCTCCTCTCCGTGGGTTTGAAGGTTCTGACAGTCAATCTGCTCCCAGCACCGAGCTACCTATGGTTGAGCACCAAGTGGGCAGGGCCCTGGGTGGGTTTGGGTGTTTAATAATAATCGCAGCATTTGATATAGAGCCTTATCACATCTTCGAGACGTCTCAAAGCGCTTCACAGGATATTCTGTGAAGTGAATAGACTGTAAATTTTGTGAGTGAAACTCTATGGCCAATTCTGCACAGCAGTGTGCTCTAAACAGTTGTGGATTGAGTGACCATATTATTATTATTATTTTTTTTTGGAGGGATTGTTATCCCCGGAAAAACAATCCGCCAGTCAACTAACAACCAAGTTCCTACTTACCGCTAGGTAAACAGAGAAACATGCCTCACAGTACATTGAAGGACCTGGAATTGAACCCAGGTCCTCTTGCGCTCTTAACTACTGAGCTACAGGATTCTGTTTAGTGCTGAGTATGACAGTGGTTCCTTGTCTCGCAGTGTGACGGGGAGTCCATCTCCCTCCCCAGCCTGCAGGGTTTAGCTGTGCTCAACATACCCAGCTATGCCGGTGGAATCAACTTCTGGGGAGGAACCAAGGAGAATGATGTAAGTCTCGTTGTTTACTCTACCAGACATTCACACAGTGAACTTCAACATACAAGGACAGGGTCTCTCCATCAGGACCCCTCTCAAAGCCGAGCCGGAGGAGGTTGTGTTCAGACAGGGAGTCTTGCTGTTAAGTTCTGCAGGGAGGGAGTCTTGCCTTCAGGGAGGTGTCTGAAGGAATAGATTAGATTCTGGTTGGATTTTCTCTGGACATTCCCCCAAATAGACTCCCGGTGGATTTAAGATGTTTTTGAGCGCTCCAGCACAGCAACATGTTATAGAATAAACCTGAAATGTGTTGCTGGATTGTTCTGCGTCTCCTTCCTCTGTATCTATCACTGTCTGTGTTGCTTTCAGAGCTATGGGGCTCCATCTTTCGATGATAAGAAGCTGGAGGTGGTAGCCGTGTTTGGCAGCATTCAGATGGCTGTGTCCAGAGTCATTAATTTGCAATATCACAGGATAGCTCAGGTGAGTGTGTCACAGGATAGCTCAGGTGAGTGTGTCACAGTGACAGGAGAGCTCAGGTGAGTGTGTCACAGGAGAGCTCAGGTGAGTGTGTCACAGGAGAGCTCAGGTGAGGGTGACAGTGACTGTATCACATATCACAGGATAGATAGCTCTTAAAATCTCCCTCTTTAACTGAGCCTCTGATCACCTCCCTCATTCCCATCCTCCCAGCTCGGTGTTCAACCTCGCCACTGTCAAGCGCTCTGACACTTTATCCTACATGGAGGATTGTGGTTGCTTGACAATGGATGTCGGAATTGAGCCAGTCTTCTGTGCTGGTATCTAGTCTGGTTCCTGAGCCAGACGGGTCCGCAGTATTCCAGGGCACTGCTGATGGCAGCACAGCCCAGCCTGGCTCATCGGCAGGACCTAGAAGGGCCGACCAGTCACTGGGGGCAGGGAGTCATCCCACTCAGCTCCTGTTAACCTTGCAAGACAAAGACCTAACGGGTAGGGTGGTCCTAGCTGGACAAGCGGCAGGATGCTCAAATGAATCAGGGTCCAGGATAGAAACACGACAGATGATTTTCTGAGTTGACCACCTTATTCCTGATCAAGCAATATTGTTACAATGGAACTAAAGTCCTTTCTCTATGTGATTTGTTGCAGTGTCGCACGGTTCAAATCACTATCTCGGGAGACGAGGGTGTCCCTGTTCAGGTGGATGGTGAAGCCTGGATTCAGCCGCCAGGAATGATAAAGATACAGCATAAGAACCGCGCCCAGATGCTAACCAGGGACAGGGTAAACCTTCAGCAGCTCATATTGATCCAGTTGTGATCCAAATAAGGACATTCCCTGATCAAGTAGAAGGATGCTCAGTACTCGGTGACCATTAGAGGAGACTATGGCCTTCTTATATGTTGTAAATTTCCAATAGTGGCTTTGATCTCCTTCTTGGAACCATAGAAATTTTCAACACAAAAGAAGGCCATTTGGCCCATTGTGTCCGTGGTGCCCCCTTTATACCACAAACCTTTCCGTCAAGCTCTCTGACATTCTCCATTACCTTTCCTTACAACCTTTGATCTGTTTCCCATGATGCTTTGTTTCATTTCTGCCTCCACCCTCCCACTGCCATATTAGTTTAACTCCTTCCCCACAGCACCAGTCATTCTCTCCCCAACAGGAGATGGATCTCAGCACTACTTTGTCCATTCACCCTGTACAGGTCATATCTGCCCCTGAACTGGTCCCAATACCCGAGAATCAGAACCTTCCATCCTACAACAACAAGATTACATTTGTATAGTGCCTTTCATGTTGGGAGGACGTCCCAAGACGCTGGAAAGAGTACAGCATTTCAGACCCAAGCTGGGGTCAGGGGGGGGAGAAGACATGGTCAAAGAGAAGAGTCTTGAGGCGGGACTTGAAGGAGGCTAAGGAGTGACTGCGGGATAGAATTCCAGAGTTTTGGTTCAGAGTGGCTGAAGGCTCTCCTGCCAATGGTGGGGCGAGTGGGTCGGGGGACGACCTACACCCTGATCAGCCCTGCAAATCCCCGCCCTGTCTCACTGTGACTGTCTGACTGGCCCGCGGCTCAGGGAAGTGATCCTGAGATTTCAGCCCTCCAGCTCCATCATTTCAGTCTGTCCGCCAGTTCTCTAAACACCCTCTGCAACACCTGGAACCTGATTCTATGTCATTGTCCCGACATAAATCACATGGGAGTTCTCCCTCCCTCTCCAGTATTTTCTGCACCTGTTCCATTATGTCTCTTATCTGGGAGGTAAGATACCATTCAGGACTCACGGTTGCAGCAGAAATTCCTGTCAACTTCCCCATCACAGGTCATCACTGCTATTTGCTCCAAGGGGCCAAGGCACTGAGGTGCATCCTTGTCACAGTTGCTCACTGTCTGATATCTGTTTGATACACCAACATCCTGTCTTCTCTCCAAACCCCCTTCCCCTCTTCACAGTCACTCACTTCCCCTCCTCATTCTGCCTGCCTGAGGGGCGGGGCCTCAGCTGGAATGGCTTCAGTCACTTCTCAAGCTCAGCAGCTTGGAGCTGGAGCACATGGCACGTACGCGAAGAGGCCAGAATCTCCCACATTGTGCACTTTCCACACAAAACGGGCATCAGCTCCATTATGCTGAATACATTGTTGTCAAAATATCTCCTCAACCCTATCTCTCAGCAGATCAACTCTACCACTCCATTAGCATGGGTTGAACTGTATCTGAGGAGCATAGTTTAGAGATTTGCCTCCCAATGGTCCACTGTTCAATTTTGATTGCTAAGATTCAATCTTGATTGTCTGGTAAGTCATAGAGACCAGATCAAATGTGGACAATTATTAGATAATTACTATAAAAGCAAGGAAGTTATGTTGAATCTTTATAAATCGCAGTTAGGACTCAGCTGGAGTGTTGAGTCCAATTCTGGGTAACACACTTTAGGAAAGATGTCAGGGATTTGGAGAGTGTGCAGTGGACATTTACCAGAATTGTAACAGGGAGGAGGTGCTACAATTTGTTGAGAAACAAGGGAGGCTGGAATTGTTCTCCTTAGAGGGTTGAGCAGAGATTTAACAGAGGTGTTCCAAATTATGCGGGGCTTTGAGAGAGTAGATAGGGAGAAACCTCTGGCGGGTGGGTCGGTAACCAAAGGAGAACAGATTTAACATAATTGGCAAAAGAATCAAAGAGGAGACAAGGAGAATTTTTTTTTCCCCCGAGAGAGTTGTTTGGTCCTGAAAGGGTGGTAGAAGCAAATTCAATAATAGTTTTCAAAGGAAATTAAATAGATAATCAAAAAGGAAAAAAAATTGCAGTGCTCTGGGGTAAGAGCGGGGGAGTAGGACTAGTCTTTCAAAGAGCCGAATGGCTTCCGTCTGTGCTGTAAGATTCTATAACGAAGCGACAATTATTGTCAACGTGTAAAACAAAACATCATCACAGTCACCAAGTCAGGTGGTTGCACGGCACAGGTCAATCTTCACACTCGGGGACTGTGAACCTCGCGTCCAGGCAGACATCAGGCCCAGTGGGTTAAAATCATGAAGGTCACAGTACATTTGTCTTTTAGCACAAATAAACAATAATATGTAGCTTTGAAACTCCAGGCAGACCAGCCACAAAACAACCACTGGATCAGAGGCAAAGTTTGAATGTAGGTTTCCCTTCACCTGTTTGTCGTGTTCTGAGAAGTTGCACAGTTTTACTGCAGAACGTTCAATTCTTCTAAAGACAAATTGCTATTTAACGGCAAGGCAACTGTCACTACTGAATAACCTGCCAAGGTTATAAAGATGAGTGTCGGTTGATGTCACTAACATGCGGGGTAAACATTATATTTTCCACGAATACCAACCTTCTCCACTGTGACCTCCAGAGGCCATTATTGGAGTCCTTACGTTTAGACACAAGATCAAATGGACTCTATTGGTTTGAGGTATTGACTTGGCTTCGATCTGCCTTTCATGGGAATTTGACAGGTTCTACTGTCCCTCCTCAGGCGTTTGAGAGCACTCTGAAGTCGTGGGAGGACAAACATAAAGTTGAGGGCCGGCAGAGCTCACGGCCTCGGCTCAGCTCCCAGCAGTCCATGGAGTTCCTGACTGACGAGGAGGCTGCCCACATTCAGCAGTTTACACAGGCGGCTGAGACGCTGATCAACAGGTACATCTCAATCCTTGGATCAAATAGTTTACATTTCTCCACCCTGCATAAATGATTAACCTTTTTTGCCCCTGCAGTTCCCCTGGTCACACATCTCTTCCGAGAATAGACGTCTGTATCTCTGACTTTCCTTAGTCCATGACCATACTCCTAACCCTAACCCAACCTGTGCTTGTCTGGCAAAAGGTTGATGGGAAGCCAGTGGAGTCGGGCGAGTCTGGGGGTGATAGGGTCACAGAGCCTGGTGTGGGAGAGGACACGGGCTGCAGTGTTCTGGATGATCTGCAGCCTATGGAGGGAGGAGTTGGGGAGGTCGACAAGCAGGGAGTTTGCGTAGTCGAGCCTGGATGTTATGACTATATGTATGATGTATGTAAATCTCGGCAGCCTGCGGAGTGAGACAGTGTCAGAGCCGGGCGATGTTGCAGAGGTGGGGAAAGGCAGAGAGTGGGACATGGCATGGATGTGGAGACCAAGTATAGTTGAGGGTCAAGCAAAACGTCAAGGTTCTGGACTGGCTTAGCAAGGTGGAGTCTATATCCTTGGATGATGATGATGCTGTGCCTGACCGCAGTTCCTGAGGTGAGGAGGTGCTGACAGGAGCCAATCAGGAGAGCATCGGTCTTGATGATGTTCAACTGTAGAAAGTTAGCTCTCATCCAGGTCTTGATGACAGTCTGTCAGGACAGCAGCGGTCCAGGAGTTGAGGGTGGAAGCAGAGAGATAGAGTTGGGCATCATCTGCATACGTGTAGAAGTTGACCCCATGTTGGCGGATAATGTCACCAAGGGGGAGCATGTAGATATTGAAGAGGAGGGGACCAAGAAACAGAGCCCTGAGGAACACCGTACACGGTGTGGGGGCTGGAGGAGAAACTGTTTATGGAGATAAATTGGAGACAATGGGAAAGGTAAGAATTGAGTTGAGAAGTGATGGAGGAGGTAGAGTGGCCAGCGGCATTGAATGTAGCAGAGAGGTCAAGGAGGATGAGGAGGCAGAGGGAGCCCTGGTCACAGGTGGACAAATTGTCATTTGTCATGCTGTTTCTGTGCTGTGGGTGGCACAGAAACCCGATTGGAGGCATCCGTGAAGGGAGTGGCGGGAGAGGAACGAGCGAAACTGGGAAGCATTGACTCATTCCAGGACCTTGGAAAGGAAAGGGAGGTTGTTGTGGTAGTTTGAGAGTTGGGATGGGTCCAGGGAGAGTATTTTTTTTAAGGATAGGAGTGATAACAGCCGTTTCTAGAAGAGTGGGAATGGTGCCAGTGGTATGAGATAAAATCTGGCTCGCACCAGCGATTATATATAATTCCACAGCGTGGCCACAACCTACACTATATAAATGCAAGTTGTTGTACATACAATGTATAGCACCATTGTACAGGCCATTTGGCCCAACTAATTTGTGGTAGTGTTTAGATTCCATATGAGCCTCCTCATCCTTTCCCTATCCCCTTCCCATATTCCCTTTTGTTCCCTTCTCCTTCATGTTATCCACATAGTAACGTCCCAATCTCAGACAGACGTCTTGTTGGTAAGAAAATGGGGTTCAGCGGCTGGGTTCCCTCTGATCAGCATTGCCATGTCACATGCCATGTTTACCACCAGCATTGCTGACCTTGAAGAGAAAAGCAAGTTGCCGAGGGCATCAGAAGCTCTGATCGGAGTGTAACTAACATAGAGCAGTTAGCTCACTCACAAACTCCCTGTATTCGATTGAAGTGACTATGCTTGCTTCTTTCCCTCGTTTGACAGAATTCACCATGCAGCAGAGAGACACAAGGTCATAGAACAGGAGCTGGCACACGCAGTGAACGCCAGCTCCCACGCCCTGAGCTCACACGTGGTGAGTGAAGTGTTTCCCAAACAAAACGTGCCTGAGGTAGGCCCATTTATTCCACTACTTCTCAAGAGATCAAAATAATAATCCTAATAACAATCCTTGCATTTGATATAGCGCCTTATCATACCTTTGAGACATCTCAAAGAGCTTTACAGAATATACTATAAAGTGAATTGACTGTATAATTTTTTGGAAGAAGAAATGCAGAAGCCCCACACACCGTCATGGATTGAGTGATCAAATTATTATTTTAAAATTTTTATTTTTGAAGGGATTATTACCCCTGGAAAAGCGATCCACCAGTCAACTAACAATCATATTCCTCGTTACTGCTCGGTAAATAGAGGCCCAACTTGCCTAACGTTTTGCCCTGCCAGGGAACCAAACCCAGATCCTCTTGCTTGCGAGGCAATTGCTCCAACTAATATGCTTCAGGGCTCCAGATGTCTGTATTTTGTGAATGCGAAATGTTTTTCGAAATTACGAATTTACGCAAACAATATTTCAGTGAGCGAATAGTGAACCTGTGAAAAAGGCTCCCTGGAGCCTAACACAGATTAGATAGTTTTCTTTTAGGAAATAACATTATGGGATACAGTACATAGGGGGTTTGGGATATATGTGCAGGCGACCGGGGAAGGTGGAGGGCGAACTTGGTCTTTTTTCGTCTAGCGTATTTTCATCTTATGTTCTTATTTTGCCTGTAGGAAAGTTCAGCAATGAAGGCCTGTTTTAGCAAGATCACATTGTAATAGTGACTACTCTGGCTGTATGCTGTCCCTTGGGGACAAGTATCCAGACTATCTTAACATTTGTTTTAGGGTAATTTATGTTTTTTTTCAAGGCGAGGGCTGGTCACTGCAGATCATTCCGATTATATTTTCTACTCTTGTCATCTCGGATTAGCATTATACATTCCCTAGCCAGTTACAGCACAACGTAACAACAACGCTCTCTCTCAACAACAAGATTACATGTGTATAGCGCCTCTCACATCAGGAGGACGTCCCAACGCGCTGGACAGTGACAGCATTTCAGACCTGAGCTGGGTCGGGGGGGGGAAAAGGGAGGGGAGGGGAAGGGGGGCGGCCGATGGCCTGGTCGAAGAAGAGGGTCTTGAGGCGGGACTTGAAGAAGGCTACGGAGGGGGCGAGGCGGAGTGATTGGGGGATGGAATTCCAGAGGTTAGGGTTTGTGGGACACAAACACAGTCTCACTCTGTTTGCTCCCTTTACTTTGTCTTCATAGGAATTGCTCGCTGCTGCCATCCTGGTAGTCACATAGTACAATAACGGTGATAGCAATTAATTCTGTATGGATTAGTCTACAACAGAGTAGAAAGCTTTGGGAACCTTAGATCCACAGTTAGTTACCTGGTTCTTCCAAGCCAGACTACGTTTACTATATGTCAAGTCTCAAATGATTCATAAACGGTACCCCAAAATATTGTTTTCTAAAATAAATCTATCTAATTTGCATTTGAATGAATCGATACTTTCTGCTTCCATTGTCTCCTAAGAGGGACTGTCCCATACATTTACCAGTCGTTCACTTCACTTTTGTCTTCTGGTTTTCAACAAATTATGAATGGCGCATGATGCGAGTCTACACTAAGAACTAAGTTGAGACAGTACAGAGTCTGAGACTCTGCCTGGCCTAGTTACAACTCTCCTCACCTTTGAGTCAATAGGTTGTCAGTTATAATAAAAAATAATAATCCTTGTATTTAATATAGCACTTTAACACATCTTTGAGACGTCTCAAAGAGACTCACAGAATATACTATAAAGTGAATTAACTGTATATTTTGTGGGCAAAACGTGGCAGCCACAAACCATCGTGGATTGAGCAACCAAATTAGCATTTTTTAAAAAAATTGGAAGGGATTATTAACCCCAGAATAGTGATCCGCCAATCATCTAACAATCAGGTTCCTGCTAGGTAAACAGAGACGTGTGGAGTAAGGAAACTTGCTCAATGTTTCGTCCTGCCGGGAATCAAACCCAGGTCCTCTCGCTTGTGAGGTGAGTGCTCTAACCACTAAGGTACAGGACGGATGTAAGCGGGGTCTGCTTGGAGCTGAACTGGCTCCAAGGTGACATCATAGAATCATAGAATTATACAGCACAGAAGGAGGCCATTCAGCCCATCGTGTCTGTGCCGGCTCTTTGAAAGGAGCTTCCAAATCAACCCCACTCCCCCGCTCTCTCCCCATAGCCCTGCAAACTTGTCCTCCCCAAATAATTGTCTACTTCTCTCTTAAAAGTTGTGATCAAATTGGCTTCCGCCAGCTTTTCAGACAATGCGATCTGAACAAGTCGCTGTGTGGAAAATTTTTCCTCATCTCCCCTCTGTTTCTTTTAAGAACTATTTTAAATTGGTGGTTACCGACCCACCCACCAGTGGAAATAGTTTCTCCTGTTCACCCTATTCGAATCCCCTCATAATTTTGAAAACTTCTGTTAAGTCTCCTCTTAACCTTCTCTACTCCAAGGAGAATAATCCCAGCTTCTCTTGCCTCTCCTGATAACTGCAGTCCCTCATTCCTGGTACCATCCTGGTCAATCTCCTTTGCGCCCTATCCAATGCCTTGACATCCTTCCTAAGAGGCCTAACCAGTGTTTTATAAAGATTCATCATAACTTCCTGACTTTTATATTCTATGCCCCTATTTATAAAGCCTAGTAACCTGTATACTTTTTTAAAGAGCTTTATCCGCCTGTCCGGCCATCTTCAAAGATTTATTTATATGAACCCTGAGGTCTCTCTGGTCCTTCACCCTCTTTGAGATCCTACTATCTGGCTTATTTTACCTGACATGTTTGGTAACAGAATGTCAGACTCGAGCCAGCCCTCTGTGGCGGTCTGTAGTCCAGTTCCTGAACCAGGTGTGTCCACAGTACTCCATGGTGCTGCTGATGACAGCACAGCCAGGTTGGCTCATTGGCAGAAAATGGAAGGTAGACCAGTCAGTACTGGAGGCAGGGACTCTTCTCACTCAGCTCCTGTTAACCCTGCAAGCTAAAGCCATAATGGGTAGGAAGGTCCTAGCTGGCCAAGCAGTGGGAATCTTGCCTAATAGTGCTCTCAATGGCAAGCTACGTGGTTATTAGCTATTTAAACAGCAACAGTACTTCAACGCACACTCTATGGTCCCTGAGCCTTGGGTTTTGCACCTGCACCCAATACTCTCTGGAATTAGAAAAGGAGGATGTATCGCTCTAGGAAAGAGTATACATTCCATTCCAAAACATCCATGGAACTCTGTTAGGTTTGAATTCTCTTAAGCACAGTGAGCATCTGTTAGATTAAGTAATCACTTTACACTCTCCTCTTTTCCTGTTTCATTCAGATTATGACCAGAAGCTCAGCGGGGGATGTCTCCAGCGCAGTGAAGGCACTGCACACAGAGACCAAGGCACTGCTTGACAGCAAACTGCTGGTAAATAACCAGAAGGGGAAAAAGAGGGGGAATAGGAGCACCTTTGAACTTATAGTCCAGGTCAACACTGCAGTGCGGTGCTTGTCCACTTCTGCATTGCTCGCCTTGCCCCATCCCTTGCCTCCGTCTAGGCCCGTCTCAAGACTCTCCTCTTCGATCGAATGTTAATCATGTTCCTACCCTCCCTGCACCCCCCCACCCCTCCTGATCTCAAACCCCTGACTTCCAGCGCCTTGGGACGTCCTCCCGACATGAAAGGCACTTTACAAATGTAATTTGTTGTTGTTGTTTTTCTTGCTTTGCGAGAGGTGCTGTCCTTCGGATGAGACATTAAACCGAGGCCCATCTGTCTGTTCAGGTGGACGTTGAAGATCCCCGAGCACTATTCGAAAAGAGAATAAAGTTTCTCTCAGTGTCACTTAAATAAATTAATCATTTGTAAAACACTGATTCATGCAAATAGGCTGCCAAGTTTGCCTACAAATACAGAGTCAGAAACATTAGTGTAGTACTAATTTTTAACTGTAGTGCTTTAAAACATTCAGATTCTAGATTTATATCAAATGTGAGCATTAGTTGTGGAAATTCCTTGCCATCTACAGCGAGATTTAATTTGTGGCATTTCTTAATGGGATTTCTTAATAAGGAATGTAAGTGGAAGTGCACTTCTACCTGGAAGTTTGCCAGGCAGTGCTCTCAGTAGTGAGTCATGCAGTTTTAGTTGATTAAACTCCACTAATGCTATGGGGTCCTCAAGCCAACCTAATTCTCTCCGTCAAGCATGGTGTTTCCCTCCACACAGAGTGAGCGCATTCTATTCCAGACGCTTAAACATAGAACAACACATGGAACTCTCAGTCTGGTTTCCAACCTGTGCAACACAGACAAGGCCATCTCGACCACTTCCTCATCTCCTTCTCCTCTCGCATCCCTCTCCCATCCATCAAGACCTCAATCATATTTTTCCGCCCATGGAAAAGGCTTCCCCCCGAGACCCTCAAAAAGGCCCTCTCATCTTCAGACCTCATACCTCTTTGGCCTTCCACCCACAACGACGCTGAAGCAGCCGACAAGCTGCTCCATGATCGCCTCTCCTCCACCTTCAACTCCCTTGTGCTCCTGAAATCCAGGACTGTTTCCAAACCCACCCGCTCCCCCTGGTACGACAGCCACTTCATTCCCTAAGTTCCCAATCCTGGTTGCTCGACCACAGGGGCAGAAAACCAGCCTCATGGTTTACCACCAGCTGTGGCTCGAGCATCTTCACACCTACCGTCGCTCGCTGTCACAAGCAAAAACTGCTCGCTACTCAAACATCATACTGGAGGCCAACAATAACTCCAAAATCCTTTTCTCCACTGCCCACCACCTCCTTCATGCACTCTCTCAAGTCGCCTCAGTCATCACATCTAACACCAAGTGCGAAGAGATCGTGGACTTCCTTACCTCTAAAATAGACAACATCCTCCTGGCAGCTTCATTCCTCTGCCCCATGTCGCCTATCACCACCCCCATTCCATCGCCCTCACCCACCCCGCCTTCAGCTCCTACCACGGCCCCCATCATTTGCCCCCTTTCTTTCTTGCCAAAGCTCTGGAATGCATTGTTACCAACCAGCTTTTCATGCATCTCTCCCTCCACACCCTACTCGGACCCCTCCAGTCCGGTTTCGGCCCTGCCCACAGTACAGAGACAGCGCTGATGAAGGTCACAAGCTATATCCTCTCTGTCTGTGACCAGGGCTCCCTCTGCCTTCTCGTCCTCATGGACCTCTCCGCTACGTTCGACACAGTCGATCATGCCATCCTCCTCCACCGCCTCTCCTCCATCATCCACCTCAGTGGGACCGCACTCGCTTGGTTCGAGTCCTACCTCACAAACCGCCAGCACTACATTTCTGCAAATGGGTTTTCTTTGCACTTCCACCCGTTCACCTAATGGGTAGATACCCCAAGGATCCACCCTTGGCCCCTTCTCTTCCTCATCTATGTGCTCCCTCTCAGTGATATCATCACTCTGAGACGCCGCCCGGCGTGGAGGAGCTAATATAAGTGCAAGTTGTTGTTGTGTTGTTGTTTCCTCATGTGTCAGACATGTGACTGAGCACATAATCAAACCTCGCTGTTTGGCTATGCCCAGTAAGTTCTTCACCTCTTCGCAGCAGCTGGAGTCTTCCTATGAAGAGGAATTGCAGGCTGCGTTGAACAGTGTTGAGAGTGAGCTCCAGAAGCTGTCTGGAATCCACTGGCTTGGACATATCATTCAGACAACTGACGAGGAGGTTGGTCAATCTTTTCGGCACTGATCTATGCACTCGGTCAGTGGTACTTGTGACATAGCCAGGGTTATCCATAACCAGAGGCCTATTGCTATGGATATCCCTTGGCTTGTTCTGACAGAAACCTATAGCTTTGATAGATATTATCAACAGTATTTTGTGTTTATGTAGTGCCCTTCCTATAGAATAACATTTGGAGTCAAGCACTGTGTGACGCTACCCTGAGTGAGGGGCGCTATATAAATGCAAGTTGTTGTAGAGCACTTCACAAGGATGTGGTCAAAAGTAGAACAAGGGAGAGCGTTGAAGATGGGGAACCATAGGCGCCATCAAATAAGTAGGTTTTAGGAAGGATTTAAAGAGAGATAGAGAGGGGACAAGATGGAGAAAGTAGCTTACAAAGGTTAAGGACAGAGTAGCTCAAGACACAGCTACAGCTGATGGAGTGGAGGGAGGGAGGGATAAGTGAGGAATATCAGTCCAATAAGGTTAATCTTTCCTGAACTCTGGACCTTACATTTTCAGCTCAGAAGAAGGCCTTTCAGTGGATTGTGTCTGTGCCCTTACTATCTCTGTTAGTTAGCACCTCTCACCTGAGGTCAGTTACAACCTCTCCAAGACACTATATAAATGCAAGTTATTGTTTCTGTGCGACACTCCTTGAGTCACTGGGGAGTGGAATGAAACTGACAAAACTAATCACGGAGGCAGGGAGTGGGGCGAGATTTCAAACCCATGGTTTGTAATTCAGGTCGGAGAATGAAAGGGTTAACCCAATAGCGTCCGTATTCATCTCTGAAGAGTCCTAGTGATACTGTAGCTTAGGTGTGAAACCTCATTGAGATGTGAAAATATGAGATCCACGTTCAGCTCTAAATAATACTAATACAACAAGACTTGATATCACAAGCTCAAATAGGAAATGTCAGTCATCGGCCTGACGGCTCTGCTGGTCTCTGCTAGCTCATTAAAAGGTAACAGTGGTTTCTCTCCCTTCAGGAACTCTCTAAAGGCAGCAACAAAAACAGTATCAAGTTAAAAATAAAGAATATCTCGAGAAAAGAGAAGTTGCAGAAACAGAAATCAACCAGTTCTTTACCAGGTGAGTGACAGAGAATTCTGCAAATGGCGATGCTGTTCTTTATCTTAGGTCGAACAAAGGCTCTTTCAGTTTCCGCTGCTGCAAACCCATTCATTGGAAACCAGTTGTCAATGGCCACACCTGTGAATTATGTGAAGATGCTTCTCTTTATCTCTTGCCTGTGCTGGATTGTGGTTGAAGATGTCATTATTGGACTTTATTGGAACTTTAGCCAGTTGCCTGCGAAGAAGTTCCAACCACACTGGTTACCATGTGAAACTTGTTAATAGATTGTATTTTGACACCTTTATTAAGGGCTCACATTCATTCTGGATCCAATCATGATAGCAAATACTGAGCAATCTCCCACCCCATTCAGCCACCACAATTCCTCTCCCAGTTTATGAGATCATATTCCCATAAATTGCTGCTGCTGGAGAGCAACTTGGAATCCACAGGCTCTTTGTGGATCTCTAAGCGCTTCTACTTTCCCTTCCTAAATGGATACTCTCACTGCAAAATACTTTCTCTGCGAATACTGATTATAGTTAATTTTATTACAACTTGCATTTATCCAGCCCCCTTCACAGAGGATAGCATTTTCAAGCACAATACAGTGGTGGGGTTGGATGCTGAGCAAGGGAGAAGTGACAGGGAGGTAACTATAGATGGGTTAAAGCGGTAAGTTTTAAAATGAGAGTTAAAGATAGATAAAGAGGGGCCAAGGTGGAAGGATTAAGGCAGGGGCTTCCTTCCAAAGGTTAGAGGCATAGAGGGTAAAGTGTTGTGGAGGGTTTGGGGGGAGTGCAGCTGAAGAAAGGGGCAGACAGGAATGGAGCACAAGCAAGGTAAAAGGGGAATGGTTTCAGGATGGCAAATGGTATCCAACCAGCTGGAAACATTTCCCCAAATGTCAACGTAATGGCTGAAGTGAAACTGTCTATTTTTTGCACCATTGTTGGCTCCAATATCAAAGATGGGAACCTTCCTCAACGTTGTTGCTACTCACTGGCATTGGATTCGCATCACGTGTAATCTTTATCATCTTGAAGGCAAAGCCCCCCCCCGATGGTGCTGTCCGTGTATCCAGACATTTCTCTGTGGCTCACGGAAGAGACAACTTCTGGCTAGTGGGGTACTGGGGTGCTGCTGAGAATGCTATTCAGTGAAGAGCCAGTTGTTACCCACACAATGCACTGAAAGATTGCAGCAGATGTGGGAACAGTTTAAGTGTCTCAAGTTCACGTGAGCAATGCTGAAGGAACATTACTGACTTGAATTAGTGAGTTTGCTTGTAACTAGTTTGGGCAGCGGGGTCAGCAGAGCTTTGGTATCATTTGTGCTTTATGTTTGGAAAGAAAGTCTTTGAACCTCAAGTTTCAGTGTTTCATATTAATCAACAAGTCTTTGATGCCACACAAAGGAACACTCAGACTGAAAGCAGAGCTCATTGCAGTCAGCATCACATTCTCATAACTTGCTTTCAGTAACCGAAAGGAGTCACTGTGGGAAATTGGCCCCTTTTTGCATTTCAGACCGTGGCAAAATATTCAATATTTTGCTCACATAGGGAAAGAGAACTAATTTACTAGGAAGGAGTGTGCATTCATCAATCTTTGTCACCTGCTTCACTGGCTCCTGTCTGAGCATTGCTCCCACTGATCTCTGTATGTTGCTGCATATTGTAATGTTTCAGATGTTGTCTTGTGGTGTTTAGTGACTTCCAAGCTATCCTGTCTCTGGTATAAAGTTTTTATGCTCATTCATCTACAAATTATTTTGAAGAGGCAGTTTCAGCACTCAACCCTGTTTAAATATTAATGTATCTTTAATATCTATTTTATTATCTCTTAACAGTGAGTTCTCTGTGATCAGCTTAGTGAGACAGGCAGTGCGAGGGAGCTGAAATTGAGATGTATGAGCTTGATGCTGAACCACTTACTTAATGGTCCCTATGGCCATTGATTCAGTTCCCTGCTCTTTTGGGTTTAAGAAAGTCATTCAATTCCTGTACCCTCTCCCTCCTTCCACTTCAGCTCAAGATTTTACCTAAAAAAAAGTCTAAAAATCAAGTAATGTCAATCACTGACCTTAAGATGAGTATTTAAAGCCTGTTCAGAACAGACTAGGAATCTAACCTCAAGTTTGCACTAAACTAGGCCGTATCTCTACACACTAGGCCAACTGGAAAGCCTCAGTCTTATTTTATTAATTCAGTGACATATAGGAGAAATGAAAGACTGAGGATATGCAATGGGTTTCACAAGATTCAGGTGGTGGGATTCAGCTTTGGACCCTAGGTCAGCTAACCCCTGATTTGGCTTGGAATGCGGTGGGTTTTGATATTAAGCACCACTGGCAGCAAGTTAAAAACGATAGGAGTAAAGGCTGAGTCCATTGCGGGGTTCAAGAGGCCAGTAGATATGTATATGAAGGATAGAGATTTAAAGGGTGTGTGGATAAACAGAGCAGTGAGATTGAAAAGTCAGCTTGCTCTGACAGTGCAGAAGCGATGGGCCGAATGGCCTCCTGAAATGTTGTAAATGTTTATAATTCTATTATCTAGCGCAAAACCCTTCTAACTGGACGGTGAGAATTGGGAAAGCCGCCTGGATGGAGTTCCAATGCATCATCTGGTCGCCTTTGGGATCAATGAAGATCACTGCGGAATCTTAACACATTGCACAAAAATGATTCCATTTCTTACCTAAATTTATAACCTGCAACATAACTTACATTCAGAGACATCGTTTATTCTGCTGTGCAGCAAGTAATATGATTCAAGAAAATAATTTTAGATGAATTTGATCATTATTTTCAAAATGTCACCCAAGCCAAGCAGTGGGTTCACTTGATGATTCAGCCGACAGCTTGCAAGTCGAAATTAGCTCAGATCAGCCCAGGGTGCTGTCAATCAAATCTACTTTGCTCGGGGTGGGTGAGTCTGGATGTGGGGTTGTCACTCAAGCTCAGCTGGTGAGACAGAGTCCCAGGGCTGCCTGTCGCTCAGACACACTTGGTTTAGTTTTAAGCTCTAGACTTTTCTTGTCACTTGCCTCAGCTGGCGAGTTTAAAACCCAACATTTCTTGCCATTTGAACAAATTCTAGTGAATTAGTGGAGATGCTAGACTGGAGCTAGGTTGCTGGATGGGATGCCAGCACACAAAAAGCCCATTTAAACTGTGTAATCTGGCCCCTTTCCCTACTGGAAGATGCCCGCCTGTTGGAGCAGGATTAGGATAGAGGAGTATCATCAGAGGAGCAACACTGACTTTAATACAATGTCGAATGGCCTTTTGCTGTTTCATAGATTTCTATGGTTCTGGAATGTCAGTCCAAACCCCAGACAGAGGGCAGTTATGAAATAATGCCCAGAGCAGCTGCAAAAACTCGTCTTTGCTCAAAAGGTCATTGATGTTTGCTTTTTTTGCCAAAATGTCTGCATTGTTTCTGCTTCAATGTGCTTTGATTTCTCGTATGGTGCTCTTGCTAAGCAAGGCTCTGCTTTTCCCTTTTGCTAGTGGAGAAATGGGCCACAGATGAAGTAGCTGTTTGGTTGGAGTCTCTCAGCTTAGGGGAGTACAAAGAGATTTTTATCCGTCATGACATCCAGGGCTCAGAGCTGTTGCATCTGGAAAGACGCGATCTCAAGGTACCAGCCAACGGCATTATTCCCATTAAAACAAAATCACCCATGACTTCCAAGCTTTGCAACCATTATTGCTCCATGAGCGTCCCTGTTCCATGGTGCACCTGACCTGGGCCTGGGAGTGTTGGGTGCTGGCACTGGAATTGTCACAACTCCCACTTTTACAAATACAAAGAAACTCATTCTTTTATTTTAAAAGTCCTAGATAATAATCATTTTGATATTGTGATACCTTTTCATGTCATCAAAATAATAATATTAATCTTTGCATTTGATATAACACTTTATCACACCCCTGAGATGTCTCTAAGCGCTTCACAGAATATACCGTAAAATGAATTGACTGTACATTGTGTGGGCGAAACGCAGCTGCCAATTGCACGCAGCAGTGTCCCTCAAACCACCATAGATTGAGTGAGCAAATTATTATTATTTTATTTTTTTGAAAGGATTACTCTTCCATCAATTGACTAAAAAATAATCCTACAATTGACTAAAAAAAATGGATTCTAGCATTTCTATAAATGCATCAACGTGCGCCCTACATGTGGGGTCGTGTCAAAGCACTTCCCAGAATTCTAGTGTGAACTTTATGGCCTGTATTTGTACGCAATGCACAGCAGTGTCCCACCGCCAGCCATGTTATCACACTGCTTTCAATGTTCTATATATTAAATGTTTTATATAATGTTCATTACATCTTTAGGCTCATTGTACACCTATGAAGCACCTCTCTTCATTATTTATTTTGGTCAGCCGGGTATGTTACATCTGCAGAAGCTCATTACAATGCGTAAGAATATCCAAATCAGACTGAGAGTTCCCACCTACACATTCCACTCTCTCTCTTCGATATCCAGCTATACTTGTGTAATAGGCGGTGAGTCATGTGACATTCCCACCTTTCCAATCTAGTCCCACGCAGTCCCACTTTGGGTGTTGTTGAGTAATTAGTGCTCTTAAACTACCCATCAGCAAATGTGCCCTGCACCACTTCACATTCCTCAGCCCAATACTGGGTTTTATCCACCAGAATTAGAGTAATTGACGATTTCAAGAGTGATATTATTCTCCTAAAAGTTTCCAGCTTTACTGCCTGGAGATGGAATATTATTAAGTTACTGCTGTACGTTCCTGCAAGTTATTGTGAAGAGGTAAAGACATTGGAAGTGTGTAACAAGAGAGGACTATTCACTCAATGGGTCAATCCTTCTACAGACCATGTACAAACTACATTATTGTGGACTATATTTCATCTCCTGTTGGAAAGTCCTGCATGAATACTGGTTAAGTATAATCAATCTCCAAAATATCTATCCTTTGCCATCTTCCTGTTATCTCACCAACTGCCCAAGACTCCAATGGAAAGGCAATTTCATATCCATTTAAACCTTTCTCTGCAACCAACAATCCTATTCCCAACCTAACTGGTTTGGATGAAGAAGCCCCTTCAGTTCATTGAATCTAATCCTTCCAGAACCCATCCTACTGTCTTCCCATCAAAGCATCGAGCTATTTTTAATAAGTCAAGTGTCCTTTCTTCAACTAGCTTTCCTAGTAACCGGTTCCATTTGTTAATTACCTTCCTGGTGTCTGTCCTGAAATAACCCTAAGCCAATGAACTCTTGTTCTACTGTCTCAGGCACCCTAATGTATTGTTCTAGGTTTATTTTTTCAATCCTGTTTAAATGTTATACACCTCTATAAGGTCCCCTTTGATATGTCTTCCTTCAAGACTGAAGAGCCGTAGCTTATCTAATCATTAGTCACAGCTGATTCCGACACTGGGGAATCATTCTTGTTGCTCTCCCCTGCACTGCCTTCAGGGCCCGAACAGCCCCTTTTGTTCCAGTGATTAGAACTGTTTGCAGTATTCCAGCCATGGTCTGACCGCACTAACAAAGGATTCTTTCTAACAAATGCTCCTGTAAGCTTAATGATCCTTGTAACCAATGCTCATACTATCTAATGATCCCTGTAACCAATGAACACACAAGGTAATGATCACTGTAACCAGTGGTTACAGCAACTAATGATCACTTTAACTAGAAGATACATTAACTAGTGACCCTGTAACAAAGTACTAATAATCTCTATAACTAATGCTCCGCTAACTAATGTGTTACCCATGTTCATAGCAACTGATCATCCCTGGAACCAGTGAATACAGTAACTATGTGATGATTACTCAAGCAATAATAATAATAATCCTTGCATTTGATATAGGGCCTTATCATGTCTTTGAGATGTCTCAAAGCACTTCACAGAATATACTGTAAAGTGAATTGACTGCAAACTTTGTGGGTGAAACACAATTTACTGTGCTTGCAGTGGGAGCGTGTTTCAGAGCTGGGAGTATGTTATATATTTCCTGCTCTAGGTTGGTTTTATGGGTGGGTGGTTGAATAGCTCATGCTGGCAGCAATTGATCTTTAATGTTATTGAAAAGCCAGTCACAGGAACTCACTGGGCAGCACTCCTTGTGACGGCACTGCACTACATCGTCATTGCAAATAACATTATATGATTCTGTTGGAATTTAAACTGGTCTCTACAGTTACCTACTTGCTTGATTTATTTTGGTGAGGAAAAAAAACAGGACCGTGGTGGAGGCGATTATAAATAGGAAATGGCAGTAACATGCAAGGAGCAGAGAAGCAAAGGGGCTTGGGAGTTCAGGTACATCAGTTTCAGAACTCCGTCGCCCAGATTCTCACTGGCAGAAAAAAATTTGATCTATTTTCATGGGAGCAGAAAAGATTGAGGGGGGATCTGATAGAGATGTACAAAATTATGAGGGGTTTTGAGAGGGCAAAAAAAGGAATAACTATTTCCACTACTAGGGGAATCAGTGACTGGTTTATAAGATTACAAGATCTTCACAGTTAGTCACAAAAGTGAAAGGAGAACATATGCACATGTGTTCCCTGTGAGAGAGATGTAGAGAGCCCTCTGAGAAATATGGTTCAGGCAGAGCCCAATATAAGCCTCAAGAGGGAAGTCGACGGGTATATGAAGGATAGAAGTTTGAAGGGGTGTGGGGGTAGGCCCAGTCAACGGGATTGAACAAACAGCATGTTCTGATGTAAACTTGCTGGGCCAAATGGTCTCCTGTAAAATTTCTATGATTTTATGACCCACCAATAAGTGGAAAAGACAAGTGAAGTCTCTTACTTACTGTGAATATTTTATTTTTAAGGACCTGGGGGTTACCAAAGTGGGGCACGTGAAGCGTATTCTGCATGGTATTAAAGAGATAAGCCGCAATGCAACCATCTCAGAAATATAGTTGCTGGATTACCCTGGACAAAGGAACATTTTGGAAATCTCCATGGGACCTTGACGGGCACTATTAGTCTCGTGGTTCTGTTTACTCACGGATCTCTGATTTGCGATGCTGACCAGCAGGTGACTAGGAGTAAGATTGTCTGTATTTAAATATTTAACAAAAGGGATCAGTATAAACTGCTGTCCTGCATATTTCTCAAGGCTTACAACGTGCATGATGCTGCTCCCATGTTTCAAAATGTTTTAACTGTGACTGAAGCAGATGTTTTGCACTGTGATGTTTACAAAGAGCTACTGAAGTAATACTGCATTAACAGGGGTGTCCTGGATAATTAATCTAAAGAGAGCCTCAGAACAAAGTTGATTGAAAGACAATTAAATTTCAACCAGTCGGATAACCTTTCTACCCGCTACATGATCCTAGGTGACCACCAGTGAATTGAATGAGTTGCAGCATCCTTGGACACAGCTGGCTTTTATTTAGCGTTCCTGTGGCTCATTGTATTCCACAGTAATAACTTGGCTTAGCATGTATATGGTGATCCAAGGTATCTGAGCAGGAAAAAGATTCCTGTCAAAGTTGGCATGAAGACACAATCTATTGTAATCTCAGAATAGCTGTTGTATCTCTTTATCTGAATACTTGGTATATAAACATTATATAGTTATCCAGGCATCCGAATAGAGATTTCACATTGGCTCCTTGTTAGAATACTCTGAAGTGTATCTCCTGTCTATTTGAATGATCAATGTTGAGGTGCAGTATGTTTCTCGATGTGCATGGTCTGCATGATTTGATATTGTGGTGGGAACTCAATCATGCCATAGCTTTCAGGTCTCAATGAGAATCAAACTCCATAAACAGCAGAGGCAGCTTCACCTCAGTTAGACTGAGCTGATGAGGATTGTTTCTTCGTGGTGAGTCTGCCAGCTCGGGGCCAAATCCCTGACTGTCCAGCCCTTGGGACATCCTCCCAATGTGAAATACAACTGCAATTTTGTATTGTATCAGCCTACAATTCCTGTACCCTGTGTAGTTAAGACTTGAATAGTGTTTATGAGTAGGGAAGTGGAATTGGAGTCATGCTGCCATCTGATGGTCATGTGTAGGCACTTTAACAGCAGGCAGGTATCCCACTTGCCCACTCCAGCTCAGTTGTCGGGCCAGACGAAGATGATTAGTCATAAAAATCTAAATGAAAGGATGAAATTTGTCCAATTTTTAAAAAAAGAAAATCACCATGAGTACCCATGAGAAAAGTCTGTGGATACTAGGTTCTGTAGTCGGTCAGTATACTGCTCTTTCAGACGCTTGGTTCAGCCCAAAGTAAAAACACAAACGCTTTCTCTCTCCTGGGCAGAAGGATTACAAGTGAAATGTGAGCAGATTCATTTCCCAGCACTGGCATCCCCTATGTTTCTATGTATAATTTTTAATAATTATTATTAATGATAATATTCTGAACGCCTATTAATGATAATATATACGGAAAATATATATTATCTATTTATAGTACACTTCACGTTGGGAGGATGTCTCAAAGTATGCAACAGCATTTACTGTAAAGTGCAGTGACTGTATTTTGTTAAGAAATTAATACTCGTATTATTGAAATTACACAGTTAGCGTTTGTGGCAATGAATTCAGCTTCCTTCCCTGATGATGACATGCCTCAAGGCCAAAGGCAGGAAGAAATAGACAAGTGTAATAGCATTGCGTTTAGCTGTTTGATTTCATCATAAAGGGTACTGGTGGCAGCAGTCACAACCTAAACTGCCTTGGCAGCTCCGTAAAAGTAACTATTGTACTGTAATTTTCAATTTCTAATCATCAGGAACTCCTGCACAATAGATAAAAGTAGAAAAAATGGGAAGCTCTCATCTCAAAAGGATCTATTTTGCACTGCTGACTAAAATGACAATCATGGTCATCTGATGCTTTGAGGTTAAAAGGAAGATCTTTGGTTCAAATCCTCTGGTAGTTAGCTGATCTCAGCCAGAATTAGGGTGGGGAGAAATCAGCGAGAATTCTCACTTCTGATCCGGAGAAACCTCCTGACTGGAAATACTATGCGGATCTCTGGTGAAGCAGTCAATTAGCCTGCTAGCCCTAATTATTGACCCTCCTGCAAGATGCCTATTGGGCCCTTTACATCGTAGAGAAGGGAAAAAGGGAAATAAAAAAAAATACCCAAAAGAGTTGGTTAGAACAAATGTTTTTTTTCATTCCATCTTTATAATGGGAAATTCCAATAGGTATGTAAAGATCACTGTTCTAAGCAATGAGTGTGAGATTTACCTAATTGCGGATATCCTAAAGGTTTTCTTTTCAATCCTAATGGACAAGCTTGTGGATTGTACTGGGAATCTTCCAATTCAGCTCAGACACAAAATGATGACTTCATCTCAGAATGGCTATCTGAACAAGTAACCTATTAACTTTTCCCGGCCTCCAAACTTGCTGCTGAGCAATGTTGATGAATAAGACTAGCCTGGGCTCCTCTGCCACTCATTTTATGTTCTGTTCCTGTGGAGCAGTGATGGAACTCTTTCCAGTTCCTCTCCATAACAACATGGTGTCTAGTTGCCACCACGCTGTTATTGTTTAAGGAAAAAAAATGCTTTGTTACAGGTCGTTTAGAACAATATTACACACCTTCGCTCTATTGCAACCTTGATCTCCACAACTTGTTGACAAAAGTCAGCTCAATTTATTTTGATCAGAAGAAAATTCCCAGGATGTCGTGTCACTTATGTTCCTCATCTTTGGGAATGTATCCTGGAACAATCAGAATCTGATTTTCAGAACTTGTTCAAAAAATGTTCAGAAGGCTGTCCGTACGGGCCACTCAGAGAGACCTCCTCCCTGAGTCAGTCAGATTTGCAGGTTAATGCAGTAAACTTAATAGTTCCCCCGTCCCCCCACTTAGGATGAAGTAGACTGAAGCTGTAGTTTCACAACCTGCCCTGACCCATCTGACTCATGGTTTGGACACTTCACTGAAAGCAGTGATCCCCCAAACTTCATAAAAGGCTATGGTCAGATCTGGATTTGCTCTCTCCCCCCCTCGCCATTCAGGTTATTTTTAACATTTCATCGTTTTAACCATGCTTTGTCTATCTACTTATATAAGATTGTAGAAAATTATCGTAGATTGAAAATGACCAATTTATTATTGTTTTTGGTTTTGGAGGGATTATTATTAGGCTCTGTGTGGAGTAAGGAAACTTGCCCAAGGTTTCGCCCTCTGCCTGGAATTGAACTCAGGTCTCTCACTTGCAAAGTGAGTGCTCTAACCACTGAGCTACAGGACTCCATGGCATAACAATGGCTTTGACCTGCGGCAGAGAACATTTGCTTTATTGTTCCAGATTTGATCACAAAATTGAGTTCAGCCTGGTTCTGAAATGCTTCAGAATGACTGCAATCATCCTGAATGAACAACAACTTTGAAACCCAAAATGGAATGCCTATGTCTGTACTGATGCAAAAACTGGATTGTTTAGGCTGCCTCAACTATTTAGTGATCCAGCCTGACTGACATTGTGCTTGAAGCTTGTACAACACTGACAGTTCTGAGCTCACATTTTAACTCTTTTAGCTCTTACCAGAGTAAGACTTTGTCAGTTTAATAATATTAGCTGGTTATGTCAATCAAGCTCTAGATAATAATAAATAATAATCCTTGAATTTGATACAGCGCCTTATCACGTCGTAGATGGCTCAAAGTGCTTCACAGGATAAACTGTAAACTAGATTTCCTGTAAAGTGCCCACAAAATCACTCATTCAGCATATTCTTCTTCTTCACAGCATGTTGACATATAACTGCATTGCAACATATGCATCCACAGTGTGGACCTTTACCTCCCCACCCCCCATCTAGCCACCCCCCAGCCCCCATCCTCACACCCCATTCCTTCAAAATTCCCTTCCTCCTGCAATCTACACATTTTAAAATCCAAGCTTAGTGTCACTTTGTCATTAGTTCTTTATTTCTCCCATCCTCACTTTTACTATTTAAGCCTTGGTGTTGTCTTACATGATGGACCTTTAGCCTTTATGTAGAGTTCTCAACAAACATGCAAGAGGTTGACACAATGTGGCTTTCACTATTTCAAGCAAATTTATAGGGTCTCCTGTCTCAATAAATTACCTGGCTCTGGCCAACAGGATCTATAAGGTCTCTGAGTAGAGGGTTGAGGGTTGCACTCACTTCATAAATCTATTAAATAAATAATGACTCTGGAGGTTAGATACCCCGATTACTCCAGTCCTCGCCAAACTCCTCTGTCTCCCAGTCACAGAGCGGATCGACTTCAAGATCCTCACTCTAGCGTTTAAATCCCTCCATTCCTTGCACCCCCCCCCCCTCCTCCCTCCCCCACCCCACCCAATCTCTCTAACCTCCTCTCTCCCCACAGCAGTACCCACTGCCTCCGCTCTACTGGGTCTGACCTCTTCCGCGTCTCCTGAATCCTCTGCTCCACCATCGATGGCCGTGCCTTCAGCCACTACATCCCAAAACTTTGGAATTCCCTCCCTCAACCCCTTGGCCTTGCCCCCTCCTTCCCCATCTTCAGGTCGCAGACCTTCCTCTTTGATCTGTCACCTTCCCTCTCCCCCTGGCTCGGCCTTGGGCTCTGCCATTGTTAAGTGCATTGAGATGCTGCCTGGCGTTGAGGGCGCTATATAAATGCAGGTTGTTGTTGTTGCCATTTCACCTTTAGAACCGAGTCTAAGTGCACAACAGGATAGGGTGAGAGTCTTGTATTGCTAGCCATAAGAGTCCCATGTAAAATGAGTTTAGCAAAGTTTCAACCCAGTTGCAGAGTGTCTGGGTTCACAGCACAGATTCCCTTCAATTCATCACAAAATCATGTTCAGAGGGTTAGAAAATAAATGAAATTGCACATGGCTAGAGCAGAGGGAGCTCTTCTAGGGTTAGAATGTGGGCTTGTTGTTGGGCCGCAGTGAGTGTGCTTCACTGTGCATCTAACCTTGGCATTTAGCAGCACTCGATTATCTGAAACGGTATCCTTCATTTCCCAGTGCTAACATCCCTCACCTTGTTAAGCTCAAAATTCATTGTTGCATAAATTTCTGATGCAGGTTCCATTGTTAATTATGTTATGACTAAACAACATACTGCCTCCGCTGCCACATTACAGAAATGCTCTTCCAGACGCATTCATAAAGATTAAAATGTCGATGAGTATTCACACTTTGTAAACGCATAATTGTGCTTACAGTTGTTTACATCTGTATTGTAGCATTTTTGTTTGTATAAAGAGAGCAAACCCAGGATTATTTATTGTTGACGCATAAAAGATGATTTATAAAGATATTCTTTTAATTTTTGCAAAATACAGAAAGATCAAAGGTACTTTATTGTAATAAACAGAACTTTAACAACTGAAAATGGAAATGAATGTGTGTTTCTTTCTCCTCGGAGACTCCTCTGTGGAATAGAGGAATTGTCCTTAATAATAATCCTTGCATTTGAGAACTTGCCTACCACGAGCTTCACAAGCTTTTGTAAAGGGTGGTGCTGATTCTGTCACTCCTATTTTCAGACCCAATCCTCTTCCTCTTCATATGGAAGTTCCTGTTAATCCCCACCTACACATGGAAATTCTAGATAGATGTTGGAATGGAATGTGCATTTGCTCTCTGGAGGGACGCATTCTGCTTACCTAATTCCAGAATGTATTAGGCAAAGGTTGGCAAAACCCAAGGCTTCGGGATGTTGGGGTAACTGCTGGAGTCTAACCAGCTAAAACCAGCATAACTGACCATTGCTATTGCTGTCTGGCAAGTTTTCTCGCTGCTTGTCCAGCTTGGACCGCCCAATTAGTTAGGGCTTTGGCTTGCACAGCTAACAGGAGCGGAGTGGGATGAATCCCTGCCCTCAGTGACTGTTCTGCCCTTGCAGGTCCTGCCGATGAGCTCGGCTGACTGTGCTGTCATCAGTAGTGCTCAGGAACTGTGGAACTCCTGGCTCAGGAACTGGACGAGAGACCATCAGAGAGGGCTGGCTTGATTCTGACATTCCATTGCCAAGCCCACCCCCAAATTCCCCCACGCCCGAGAAGGATAGTACCATCCAAGGATGCACACCCCACCTCACTAAGCCAGTCCAGAACCTTGGCATCTTGTTTGACCCTCGACTTTCCTTTCGACATCCGTGCACCTTCGCAAAATTGCCTGGTTCCGCAACTGTCTCATACCGCAGGCCGCCGAGACCCTCATACACACATTCATAACATCTAGGCTGACTACACAAACTCCCTGTTTGTCAGCCTCCCCAACTCATCCCTCCATAGGCTGCAGATCATCCAGAACTCTGCAGCCCATGTCCTCTCCAGTCCATCACACCTATCCTCGCCCGACTCCAATGGTTTCCCATCACACAAAGGATACAG